CTGATTAACTGTTCCGTCCTTTAATGGCTGGTGTTCAACCTAACATTGCTTAGTTGCTTTGCTACATGTGTTATGATGTAGTTGTAAGAGATAGCTGACGGAAATAAACGATAGTACGAACGGATGAGATAACTATTATCTTTTAATAGGAATGCAGTAAAATTGTAACGGAAACAGTTCATAAATGGGTTTGAATTGGTCGTATTCAATGTTTTTGTGGTGTGCCAAAATTTGGTTTAGTTTGATTACGTGAAACCATGACACTGTTTGAATCTGCTAGAGCATTCATCATTTCTTTTTGAATCTATTTCTAACTTCCAGTAGTTATTAAGTGATCCAATTTAGTCTGATATTTGCCTCGTTTCACATAGTTAGTACTGTTTCTATGCTCATATTCTATTCCACTCACAAGACAAAAGAGCATACGTACATACATTGGCGTGCAAAACTTTCAATCTTGCATTAATCAATATACATGCCAACAGAATGGACACAGAATTATATTCGCCGACAAAGATGATTCAGATGTATTCGCACGTACAAATCAATGCGTACCCCACAGCCCATAGAAGAAGTATTGATTATATGACTAATGTGAATGATTTTTGGCTATCAAACAACTGTTTATGACTATCCGGTCCTATATTTAGGTATTACAAACATTGTACTATATTCTATTATTAGTAAGACTATCTGATACACCAGTTTGTGGCCAATGTTGGTCTTGGATTAACCAACTCCAACTTTACGGTAGAAATTGATACACGAGCGTGAGACGATTGTTTCGACTGAATTATTGTGACAAACCGACAAGTATATTAATGAAAGAATTTTGTAGTGGATTTTCCCGAATGTAAAAGTAAAAAGTTTTTCGGTAGAAGTTTCTGGGCTGATTTTGTCACTCGATAAAAGAGACCTCTTTTATAAAATGTCTATCTAATCCATTGATTTGATAGCTCCAACTAGCGTGATTGCTCAGCCAATAGTCCAGTTTCTGAACTCCGGAGTCAATAAGAGTTCCAGGTTTCTACACATACTAATTGTCCACAAATGGTCTCCTACCAATCTTACTTCGTCGAGTTAAGGCATATGATTTTATAACGGAAATGCCTTGAAACGTTAAAACCAACCATGATCCCTAAAACGAATTAAGCACTGAACATTAATGTCAGTTGTAACCAAAGGAATGCTATAAAACAGCATAGTAACAAAACAACAGAACAGATCTGTAACGCCCTTGATAAATCAAAAGAATAGCACATGTTGCACGTACTCAATACATCTACAAAACAATGTTCAAACGTTCTATAATTAGCTGTTATTATTTAGGGATTCTATTTATGAATGTTTGTATTGGGTAATAATTCGGCAGACGGAAATCGAGGGCCCGCCTACGCACGCCGAGAAAAGCGTAGCGACGTGTGCAATGCTCCGACTGTAACACGGCTAGCAAAATTTTGATGCACAGGTATTAGTAGGCATTAGTTTCATGTTTATTGCCTTTGCATCTGATGCTAATAGTGTCCAGGTGTCCTAATTATCTGGCTATGCAGTAGAGATAGAGAAAGGGACTCGTGCGCGAATAAATAATGTAATTATTTTTATTTACTTTTTGTCCACTAAAAACGACACTGATGTCGGTGCAGAAACTGCCATTCCGCTTTAGACAAAACTCAAAATTTCTACTCAAGAATCGAATAATATTATATTCCAAAATCCCCAATCAAACATCGTTTCCATAAATTAAAAAATTAGGTACTGGCATAAGCTGATTCATTCCCGATTTCCTCTGCCCTTTAGCAGACAATTTAGATAAAAGATGAACATAAGTCAGCCGTCAGTATGACAAACCCACACGTTTAAACAGAAATGCAATGACACGACTCAATCACACCTGTGTACGCTTCCAATGAAGATAAATCAACCGTTTGATTGTTTAGCACCATGATTTATTATTAGGACGCATTCTTCGGATCGAAATACTGCGACATTTGAGAAAGAAACTGTTATTGTTGTCCTTTTATGGAAGCGACTGCTGTAACCTGAAACTACATTCTAAAGACTGTGACCTAAACTCCAGACGAAATAAGATCGGATATCTTTGCTTTGTTGGTTGCCAAAATAGAACGGGCGACTTTCTAGTGTGGACAAAGGAAATAATGGATATTCATGGTCCCATTGCAGTAGGAGGAGGCTTTAGATATCCGCGAATCGTGAACCGATATTCAGTTGGCCTATACCTTACATATGAAAGAACTGTATTAGTTATCTTGGTATGCTGTCCAATCCTGCATGCGCAAAGGGAAAAGAAAAAAGTTGGTAGTCGATTAACACCAAATCCATCATTGCAAACTGCAAACTTCTTACAAAGTGTTGACACTCAAATTGTCACATCACAACGAGCATCAAAACGACAAGAAATTGACATGGTTCTGAATAATTATCAGCTTTATGTGCCAAACGGTCATTCAGTACCATTAGCGAGCAGTATGTGTGACACAGTGGTAGTCCGGAACACTTTGGGAATTCGCACTGTAATAATAATGGCCGTTTGGCGTCCTGCCATCTACACGGAACACGGCGAAACGCATAAATATTCGGACAAACATTTGATCAAATGTTACGGTGTATGATGTAATCCGGTATCCTAAATGAAACTTGAAGATGAGTGGCTGGCGTATATTCGAGCAAGTATAGTTCGATTTATGTACTGTTGGGACCTGGAATAGATTCTAAAAAGTCCATCGTTCTAAGAGGATGGGCTAACTAAGGCGGATAAAATTGTGTAGGATAGCCATTTAAGTAATATAATTGGCTCCTGTAACCTTTATCAGTTCATTAATTCACCTCTGTGATATGGGGAAAATCTCTTCTGACCTTACCTATTTTTCCTACGTTTTTATCATTTGGTTTTCACATTTCATTATTTCTCATACATACCTCCGATATTTTCGGTTCATAAAAGGTGAATAGCTATTATAACTACAAACGCCCTTATGCACAAAAATTTAAGGTTATGCACAAATATATACGAATTCATAATTAAGACTGTAAGACCTATATGAACTGGAAGTTACGATAATATCCGATTTCACGCCCCGGTGTTACGCGCGATAAGTAACTAATACAATCAATCTGCATAATCTGCAATATTTCTGATAACGCACTCCGCGATAAAAAATATATTGTGACGATATTGTTTATGGGTGAATCCCTAATTTAAGGAAATGGAAATGAGGCCATCGCAACACTGCGGAAAGTAATTTGGCGGGAAAATTTAAAACTTAAAGTTAGCTTTTTTTAAATTCAAATAGTCGATTATGCCCCTACATTACTGTAACATTTATCACTGAAGACTTCACTCATGCTTTAAGAAAGCCGTAGGTAAGCAAGTAGGTAACCTAAATTATTTCAACTTTTGTAACCTATATCTTTATTTTGGTCACCAACAATGTTGTCAGCCTCGTCAGGGATGCCTGTTCATACAAAATTGTCAGAAAACTTGGGTTTCCAGCAATTTGGCGACGTCTTAATACTAATATTTATGTACGGACATAATTTCTCGTGGATTCAGGAAAATATGGGCATGATATATTTGACAGATGACCGTGACCAGTATACGAAACTTGCGGTCTCATCCTGAGTGAATGCCAAAATGAATTTAGCAGTGATTACACTACATACATAACCTAACCTAAGCCTTAAACCTGTGTGAATTTGCCACAACCCTAAAATGCTAAAGGCCTATTCACGGCCTCTGTTTTTGACGCATTTTAAATTGGACATAGACATCATCAAGCTACGAATTACATTGACCGGAATTTTTCCAGAAGTGATGAATTAGAGTCTAATAGGATTAGATTACTAATAGTTTAGAATTATATGGACCATCCTTAATCCTATACCAAAAACTATTTCACACTACATCAAATTCGAACTAGTAGTTTCGGAGATTATGGCGTTTAAACCAAACAAACTCTTAAACTAATATAAGTATAGTATAGAATAGATACCTACACAATATTATTTATATGCTCGTAAATACAATACGTTTTGCTTATGTGATTACGTTTAAGATTTACAGTTAAACGACATGCTTAAGTACCTACATAATTTGTACTCGTAAATGAAAACAGATTTATAACATGATTATAGTAAATACAGTAAAATAAATTAATTTAATACATGTAAGCAGTAACCACATATTAATTTAATACAATTTATTTCTATTACTAAGTTTCGTGTGTCGTCTGTGTTGCGACCCACATTAGCGATTTATGTTTTAGTCGTGGCGCCAAAAATGTTTAATTATCTGTTTTCGTAAACAAGATGGCCGACTTTCACTAGGTCGTTAGGTGCATGTGAAAGTTTTCGCGCCCATAATTTTCAGAGACAACGCGAAATAATTGACGCGCAAGTTTTACAGATAATTAAATTGTGTATTCTTTTATGGTTGATACTTTCACATTATGTTAGGTTTTGTAGAGAAATTAGGAATTTCGCACAAGATATTTCGGTTCTTAATTAAATTTTATACTGTCTTTTATTGTCATACCCATCTGCATGAAACTATTCAGTTTCAGTTAGTCGTACGTACAAACATGTTTATTTAGAACTTGTCCTTGATACTATGCGGTTAAAACAAGTAACTTGTTTAAACAAATATAATCTAGCCTAGATACCTTGTCGCGGAGAACCTAACGGGTTACCGGGGCTCCGGCTCGACGTGCAGGAGAAGAAAGGGGGTGGTTTTTAGTCAGTAAGAGTCTGACACTCCTTCCCGCCTCACCCAGGCGGGAGCAGTCAATGGACGATTTTCCCACCTTAAAAAAAGTCTAGATACCTAATCAGACATATAGATAACAACCAACAAAATAAGATTTAGTTAAAGACAGGTTATTTGGTCTGGTAACACAAAGCCAAAACTAAAAACTCAATGCCCAAACCTACTGTCCATATATCTACCTAAACATTATTAATTTCTAACATAAATATTTCAGGTCGGGCGTATACCGGCGGACCACCCATTAGTGGGCGGGCACAAGGGCCCCGTGCTCGACATCGCGTGGTGCCCGCACAACGACAATGTCATCGCCAGCGGGTCTGAAGATTGCGTTGTTAAGGTAACGAATATAGAAATGTGAAACAAAGCTTGTGTTATCTTCCGTTACGTGAATGAAGTTACCGGAGGTATAATCCCAATCGCCAATTCGCCAATCCCCAAATCATTGATCCCTAAATGGCTGGCAATGCACTTGTACCTCCTCTGGTGCTTCGGATGTACATGAGTGTCACCGATTGCTTAACATTAGGCGATGCACATGGTCGTTTGCTGCCCTATTCCGTAAAAAAATGTAAAGTGTTACTTAGCTCAATCTGCCCCTTCCGGAAAGCTTGTAAGTATTAGTATCGTGGATATTCTTAGTCTACGCATACCATCAGTTAGTACATTTGCTCGTTTGTCCTTTTATCTTATAAAGATCTGTGAGTGATGTAGTTCCGTGCGTAGGTGTGGCAGATCCCGGACGGCGGGCTGTCGCGCACGCTGACGGAGCCGGTCGTGGACCTCGTGTTCCACCAGCGCCGCGTCGGGCTCGTGCTGTGGCATCCCACGGCGCAGAACGTACTGCTCACTGCGGGCTCCGATAACCAGGTAACAAAACTGACGTGCTTCTAATCAAACGCAAAATGGAACATTGAATTTAATTACAGAAGTGAAGTTTTGGGAAGAAAATGAAATCTAGAACCACAGTCGTAAAGCTAAGTCGAAAAAGGGGCACGGCCGTATCACCTTTTTTTGGAGCAGTACAAGCCATTTTCAACTCTTCTTTGTGCTCCTCGAAAATGAATGCATAGCTTTAGATTGAGTGTCGATCAGTAGACTCTACTAGTAGACCCAGAAAAGGAAAATATTAGAAAGAAAATCTTTTTTTTTTGTTACTTACTCCCTATATGTACCGTTTCCAGATAGCGATATGGAACGTGGGCACGGGCGAGGTGCTACTGACGCTGGACTGTCACCCAGACCTCATCTACTCCGCATGCTGGAACTGGACCGGATCCAAACTGCTCACCACCTGCCGCGACAAGAAGATCAGGTACCCTCATTATTATTTTTTTTTTATTATTTTTTTTCTCCTTTCTGCACTATGGCAATCTGTTCGAAAACAATAAGCCACTTATTTGGTTGGAGCTACATGTCCTGGTGATTTTAATGGTTTTCTTCGAGGGCCAATCAATTGCTGAACTATCCAGCAAACCCTCCTTTTGGCTCAGTTAACAAATCTTTGGGCGAGTCTGGGAATGTCTTGTCTCTTTAGTCGGTTATAATGTAGTCCACCCTCTCCACTTAAGGCCTGTGCGAGTTCGTTTGCATGGGTTGCTAATTTCTCCTGGTATTTTTGGCTAGCCTGGACTATTTCCTCACGAACAGTGTTTATGCCTAGGTCGAGATACATGTATTTGTTGCTCCCAGTCATCGGAAAACTGTTTGAACGGATACTACTTAACAGAATGAAAGTACATTTAAACACCATATTACCACAGCACCAATTCGGATTCCGTGAATGTCATGGGACAATCGAACAAGTTCACCGTATCGTCGACACTATTAGTAGATGTCTGGAAAATAAACTATACTGCTCTGCAGTGTTTTTAGATATCAGCCAAGCTTTCGACAAGGTATGGCATGAGGGCCTTATCTTTAAAATCAAAAAGTCACTGCCACACTGTTTCCTTCAGATCCTAAAGTCATTCCTAGATAAGAGAAGCTTCCAAGTAAAATGCAATAATGACAGCTCTGAGCTCTACGAAATCAAATCGGGCGTCCCCCAAGGTAGCATATTGGGACCTATCCTATACCTCATCTTCACTGCAGATATTCCAGAAGATGATCAAACAATTACAGCGACTTATGCTGATGACACCGCATTACTGTCCACTCATGATGACCCAGTAATTGCATCACACACTCTGCAAAATCATCTTAATAAAGTAGAATCGTGGCTTAAGCAATGGAGGATCAAAGCAAACGAGACCAAATCTGCCCATGTAACCTTTACTCTTAGGAGAGGCACTTGCCCACCGATTAAGCTAAACGACAAAGAAATACCACAAACAGATAATGCAAAGTACCTGGGAATGAACCTGGATAGAAGGCTCACATGGCAGAAGCACATCTGGGCTAAAAGAAAGCAATTAGATGCAAAACTTCGTAGTCTACACTGGTTAATCGGACGAAGGTCGCAACTCAATACCACCAGCAAAATCTTGGTATATAAAGCAATATTAAAACCTATCTGGACTTATGGAATACAGCTATGGGGAACAGCTAGCAGGAATAACATCGACATAGTGGAAAGATTCCAAAGTAAAGTGCTAAGATTAATATTCAGGATACCGCAATGTACCCTCATTATTAATGCAGAAGTTATCTTCAACAAAAAATGGTGTAAGGACGTGAAACTTGACGTTACACACGAAACTATCCTTACTAATATTATAAATCTGAAAGTGAGTTTGGGGGCCGTTCAAGTATTACGTAAGCAGATTTCTTACCATTTTTTACCCCCCCCGCCCCCCTTGTCATAAAAAATAAGCAAAGCACTTACTCCCTCCCCCTATGCTTACGTAAACATTTTTAGTAATAAATGCTTTTTTATATTGTTATTTTTAAAATAGGAAAATTCATGGAAATATTAGGTTTAACTGATACACATAGAGTAAATGACAAAAAATATAATCAGAAATAAAGAACATAACTAACATAAAGAATATTTTCGGAACACATTAACAGTCTTCAGTCCATGAAACCTGAATCCATGATTCTAAGTTATCGATGACATTGGATTGCTGCTCAGTGTTGCGAGTCTGCTCATTTTCATCCGATTTGGTCCCAGTATGAGATTTTTTAAAACTTTAGAACAGTTTTTGGTATAACTTGGATTTGTCTATATGATATGACATTCTAATAAGATATTTAAATTTAAATAATTAAAACGTTAAACTTTGGCTAATTGCATCAACATAAACACAAATGATAACTTTCAATGCTTACAATACGTTTAGAATCCAAACAAAACAATACTGATAGATGCGCACTTGCAGCTTGCGGCCGGCACGAGAGCGAATTATTAGACAAGTGAATAGCGCACGGTAATTTCCCTAATGCGCGGTAATTCCCCTAATCAGTTCTCAAAGCGAGTGCCTACGCATATGTATTATTTGCGGGAATCCCCGAAAAAACTTGAATAACTAACGATGACGTAATCATCATCTAGACCCCCCCACCCCCCATGTCATCCAAAATAAGCAAAACAGAGACCCCCCCACCCCCCCTTGGTGCTTACGTAATACTTGAACGGCCCCTTGTTTGTTTGTTCCACCTTCACGCCGTAACAACTCAACCGATTGCTTTGAATTTTTTCAGACGTAACGTTAGAGTCCGGATTAAATAATAGGGTACTTTTTAACCTAGAAAAATGTGATATTCCCGAGGGACAACAAAAGTATTGGTATAGATGGCGCTGTGTGTATTGGTATATGTCACATAGGCTACTTTTTATTCTTTTGTGACGCGAGCGAAGCCGCTGGTAAAAGCTAGTTCTACTATAAAACGTATTTTGTTTCTCCTTCAGGATAATCGACCCCCGTAAAGGCGAGGTGGAGTCGGAGGCGATAGCTCACGAGGGCAGCAAGGCATCGCGCGCCATCTTCCTCAAACATGGACTCGTATTCACCACTGGGTATGTATTCTTTCGACAGTTTTTTTTTTTATATTACATAGGACTGACGTTTGACCACTATCTCGCCTGGTGGTAAGCGATGGTGCAGTCTACGATGGAGCACGTCGACCTATAAGCAACCTATTCACTCGGGCCTTGAAGACACCCAGGTTATATATACCATACCGTTCAGGAAACACAGACTCTGGCAAAGAATACCGAATAAGAATAATATAGAATCCTCCTTATTATAACATTGACATAAATCAACATTATAACATTGGCTAAACGTTTCTCTCTGGAGGGTCGGCCATAATCCCCATGTTGACGGCTTGGGGATCGCTGTTAGCTTATTATTATGAAATGCTGTTGCTTCTCTCGCGGCGATTCACAATTTTATTACTTAATCTTATCACTATCACGTTATAATACAAAGCATAGGTTATGCGTTGACATTATACCACCAAAATACTTAGACTTCAATATATCTTTGAATCATGATTCAATAAATAACCATCATACCAGCCACAGGACGTCCATTGCTAAAGTTTAGCGTCCCCCATATTAAACAATATAAGCCTTAAATATAAGAAAACTTACTTAGGTGTTTTCAAATACAGCACGCTATATGTTTCGTTCCAGGTTCAGCCGAATGTCTGAGCGTCAGTACTCGCTGCGCACGCCGGACGCGCTGGGCGAGCCCATCGTCACGGTGGAGATCGACACGTCCAACGGGGTCATGTTCCCGCTCTACGACCCCGACACCAACCTCATCTACCTCTGCGGGAAGGGAGACTCGGTTATACGGTATTTTGAGGTCAGTAAGAAATATTTATTTGGTCTTTTCTGTCGGTAGTTTTAGTAGAATAAAAATTTTTTATGGTTTAAACTGTGTAAGTAACTTACACAAACTGGAGAACAACCAATAAAATATGTTAAAGCCAGTTTGATATAACCTATGGGACCATATCCAATTGCCTCCATATAGGAATTTTAATGAATTCAACAGTTAGATTCAAGTGATTGTTAAGGTTGCCCCTCGTCCGTCGCATCAAAAATTTACTGACAAACTTTTTTATTATAGCGTATCTATTTGTGAATGTACAAAAATGTGTTGCGCTTAAGAAACATAAGGAATAACCGAGTAACATAATGATATTTTTCTTTCAGGTGACGCCCGAGCCGCCATTCGTCCACTACATCAACACCTTCCAGACTCCAGACCCGCAAAGAGGTGAGACTTATACATTTGAATATGGAAATAAAAAAAAAAAAACAAGTTTCCATTTCATTGTTAGTTTCTGTTTTTTCTTCAGCCTGTATGTAATATGTTACAGCGTTATCAACGATAAAATGTGGTGACGTTAAATACATAAATGACATATGAATTTATTTAGCCATGTATTGTTCCCAGGTATCGGCATGATGCCGAAGCGAGGATGCGACGTGGCGACGTGTGAGATCGCCAAGTTCTACAGGCTTAACAACTCGGGACTCTGTCAGGTACATTGGAAAGACCATTCTTTTTCATTTTCCGGCGTAAATTAGAGTGATGTTAAATGATTTGTTTATGAAACACACCACCATTTTGAGTCCAATACATATCAGTGCATTGACACGATGAACAAACAGGTGAATTATGATTTTCCTTTTAAACATCTTATGGACTATGGACCTCCAATAATAATCACTACATAGTATAAAACAAAGTCGCTATTCGCCGTCTGTCTGTCCCTATGTATGCTTAGATCTTTGAAACTACGCAACGGATTTTGATGCGGATTTTTTTAATAGATAGAGTTATTCTTAAGGAAGGTTTGTATGTGTAATATATGCATACTTCACCCGTACGAAGCCGGGGCGGGTCGCTAGGACTTTATATACCCACAACAGTCCAGCATTTCTTCAGTCACTGTATGTCAGTCTTGCTAATCATAGATATTAGCATTGATGAACATGTAGAAGTGCCGTTTTGTTACCTGTTTACAAACATTAACATTATTAATTTCATGTCCTTCTGCAGGTGGTATCAATGACCGTGCCCCGCAAGTCGGAGTTGTTCCAAGAGGACCTGTACCCGGACACCCTGAGTGACGAGGCCAGTCTCACCGCCGACGAGTGGCTCGCCGGGGAGGATGCGGAGCCATGCACCATGTCGCTGAAGGTACCATATAGGTGGCACTGTATGACGAGATACGACTATGTAGTTAGGGGGGTAGAGTTGATTTTTCAACAAAAAGTTTGTTCACTAGCTGGTTTAATTCGTTAAAGAAAAGCTTGAAATCAGACATGTATAGATACAATAATAAAGTACAGAATTGATTTGAGCATAGAGGTAAATTTATCGCTAACGAAAATTTCAATACCTATATTTTATTCCAAAATTGGTATTAGAAATGAATGTGGTGTCGAGACTTTAGCAGCTAGATTATTTTCGAAATTAGAACTCATATTATAAGAACGAGCTCATGAAAAGGGATTAAAAGAACAGGCGATAACCTGCTCTCATTTGAGCACATGTTCTCTTGTCGTCATCATATAAATAGGCATGCCTTGTGTGAGATTGTGTGGAATATGAGATTTGTGGTGTTTATCAATAGTTGTCTTTACAGGTAAGTAAGCTTTTCATAATAACTTTGCAACTTACAATACTATAAAACTTTCATACGTCATGTAATCTTTGCAGATTTTGACATTAATTGGGTTACATTACTACTGTAAAATTATTAATACATTTCGAAAGAAAATATGACATAAATGGGACTCGAATCCGTGGCCTTATCACTACTACTATAAAACAAAGTAGCTATCCGCCTTCTATCTGTCCTTTTGTATGCTTAGATCTTTAAAACTACTCAACGGACTTTGATGCGGTTTTTTTAATAGATAGAGTGTTTTTATAAGGAAGCCGGGGCGGGTCGCTAGTTTACTATATTTTAATTTCACGGTTCGAGTCTCCCTTGGGTCATTCGTCATTTCAATTAATTTGGGAAACATCTAATCAAGCTTTGTGAAATAAAACCTTGTTACTTCTTCAAAGCATTATTCTACGATATCTTTTATATTAAAACTTTCGTGAGACATACTAAATTAATTATTATATTTTCGGCTTACTGCCGCAACTGTTTGACGAGGAACTCGACTAGTTTCGAGCCGTGAATATGAGCCTCGGGAATCGCTTGAAACTAATCGAGTTTCTCGTCAAATAGTTACGTGAATAAGCCGAAAATGTAATAATTTATTCATCTTTTTAAACAAATGGGTTTTGAATAAGACTTAAACTAATCGGTCTTGGGTTTGGTACACGAGACTGAGCAAAATATTAACATCTTTAAGACCATACATTTATTCTGTTATCAACCGTTGTCTGTGTGTTGAACTATATGTGTAAGTATTACTAAAAGCACGGTCCCTACCGACACCACTGTCGTCCTGAATGTACTGTTGGCTTGCTCTAACTATATTACAATGCGTTCTACTGTCTGTTGTGTGTTGTGTCTTTTTAACTACGATTATATAATTCGAGTGACTTTTTGTTGTTCTACTAACCGTATTACGTGTTGTTTGTTAGTTGACTTTCATGATATTTCTATATTTTTGTCTTTCTTTTATGTTTTTGAAGTAAATACTTATGTTTTCTTGGTTTTAAGCGAAGAATACACTAAGGGACAAATGTCTTTCGACACGTGTTGCCAGCGACGTCGGGTGAAGTAGCGCGACATTGCCGGAGTTTATAAATAAATGAAAATGTGTTTATTGACAAAAATTTGTACAATTAAGTTGCCGGGGCTTCCCAAAAACTAATCCGAGGATACTTGTGTTGGGATAAACATCGCTCTTCCTAGCTATACAAATGTATCGTTGTGCTAATTATAACTACACATTTTATGCAAGGTGTAGTTTTGAAACCGTGACATTTCTCGGGGGCATGTCACAGAAGTCATACAGATTCAATGTAAGAAAAAATTTCGGGCCAATAGTTAAAAACACAGCTATAGTAAATCGTTTAAGTTCGAAATTATTACAGAATAAGCGACAGCAATATTTCTTATTGGAGTTTTATGGAATTAGGAATAATATCAATTACGTGTTTGAGTTTGTGTGTGTTAAGCCGCGTTATAAAGCTGGTTACAAGACGGCGGCGTGTAATTCGCACTTACAGATTTCCGTAATTTACAGAAAAATTTAAAATATTTACCTACAGTTTTTTTATTGATTCGGACTCAGAATCTATAGCCGAGTTACCTCCTAGAAAATGACGCGGCTTTAAAACAACGCCTTGTATAATAAAAGAAAATCAATACACAGAAAAGTACAAACTTTGGTCGACATGTCTGGCAACATCAACGTCACTGTGGACATAAGTTGCGCGTTGTATCGCTCGACATGTCTTGTCGCATTTGTCCCCTTAGTGTAACCTTGGCTTTATAAGCAGTAGTTTAGTACGAATTGTCTTCAGCAGTTTCAATAATATTTAGTTACTAGATTTTGTTTATTAGACATTAGCCCCATGCAAAATGTATCAAAATTCTGTCTTTAGTAAAGAAATCTACAGTTATGTAAGGTCATTGAGATTGGCTGCTAAGAAATAATGTAGTGTCAGTCAGTACTGACTGACTGACGAATTGCCAAGGTATTAGTTTCAATCTAAAATCCCAAAATCCCACGGAGACACACAACCACGAGGACGACGCCATGACACCTGACGAGGTCTGAAATAATAATTTATTTGTGTTATATCAAGCTATCTGCAAAATAAGTAACTGCTGGCATGTTTGTCTTTTAAAATTCCTTCAAAATACTAATTAGGAATCATGGGGTAATTATTTGCTTTATCATTTATTAAAGACCATGGAAAATCATTAAGCTTATCCTAACAAGACCAATGAGGGTTAATAATAATACAATATTACAGGTAAATAAAACTAAATAGGGCTTGTAATAAAAAAATAAAAATCTAACTACCGTAAACCGGGGTCAATAGAATTCGAAGGGTGAATAGATACATGAATGGGATGAATAAATGTTAGAATATTTTCCCAACATTTATTCACCCCTCTTCCTTATCTATTCACCCCGTTTTACTGTAGCTGCTATAAATAATTTAACGTTTCAAAAAATGATTTATATCTTAGCTATGCAAAATATTGATTTCAGTCAAATGTTACCTATTTTATGGAATCTTACACAAATAAAGTATTTTGAAGGTTCATAGTAGCAACGCAGTTTTGGTAACTGGTGTTGCAAGTGGACATATCATCGAGGGGACTATAAACTTTGTTGCTACAGATTGTAGTATAAAAGGAATTGTAGATTAACATATTTATCATAAAACCAATAATTAGACATGTAATTTCAAGTGACTTGATGAAACACAAATATTTTATGTAATTTTTTACCTTAAAGTCCCTTAAACCTTAAATTTTGACAACACATAAAGCTCCCTTTAAATATAAGAACGACACACAACGGACCACCACCGGTACCGAACCAGCCAATAGTACAGTCGAGGACAGATGTTACGAGGTAGGGCTCCCCGACCCCACTCCAGGAGCGTGCGTTGGTTGTACAGGGAGGCTACGTGGCAGGGCGCTCCGCCCCCCAGCTCACCGTCACCAAGAAGGCCAACGCCCTCGCCGGCGCCAAGGAGAGGGACAAGGACAAGGACCGCTCCCCCACTCCCGCCACCAAGAGGGACGACTCTCACGCCGGTACTCCCGCGTCTGCTACGCCACCGCCCGCTATTAACGCTGCTGTGGTATGTTCTTTGTTTACGTGATTTAGGTACTTACATGCTATTATAATTTATTTGAATTTGAAGTTTTATAAGCTTATTGTCGGGCGTTATTACAGGTCTGTAACAAAAACATTAAAATTTTGCGCTGATTTGTGATCAGAAATTCAGAATCTATTAACTGAATGAATGTCAATATTCTCATCTCAATATAAAAACTACAAAAACATCATGGTCTAGTTTCTATTAGCAAATGAACTATCAAAATCTACAAACATATGTAACTCATATCATACTTTTAGTAATAAAAACTGTGTACTTAACACATTCTTCATTACACTACAGGAGAAACAACTATCAGATCTCGTCGACGAGATTCGTAAGCTGAAGTCCGTGATTGTAAAGCAAGAGAACAGGATCCGAGCCCTAGAGGCGACAGTGAAGGCGGCGCCGCCCCCGGCCGCCGCGCCCTCGCCGCAGCCCCCGGCCGCCGCCGCGGAGACACACAACCACGAGGACGACGCCATGGCACCTGACGAGGTCTGAACGCACACCCATCCTTACTTAACTTGTGTTCTTTAATCTGGTAGGCCGAAGAACTACGTATTTTACCATAAAGCAAGGGAAATTTTAAGCCAAAAAGTGATTATCATCATATCAAAGGGGAATTTTAGAAGAAAATGTGAACATCGGTCGTCATCTTATCAGCCACAACACGTCTACTACTGAACATGGCTGACTTTCACATTGGCCGGTTGCAAGCGACCTTGACCCTAAATGCTGTTAATAAATAAAGGGAATTTTATATGGCATTCTAACAATATGTTACGGTGTATTTTAGAATGCAGTAGTAATCAATTTTATGATCGATTATGACAACTGTAATGTGATCTTTTTATACCTTTTCTATCTTTTTTCTTGATTCACAAAAACTGCTAGATTAAAAACACAATGTTTAGAACAGTCGATATGAATTTTTAATCTGTTACCACAGATTATTGTCTGTTTTCTGAGTAGTTAGACAGTTTAGAATTTATATCGACGTTTGAAATGAAATAATGAAAAGTCACTACATTTTTTTAATTGACAATAACTATATTATTATTAGGAGCTTAGCTAAGGGTATACGAAAAATGTTTTGAGGTTTCATTATTTAAAATTAGAAGTACACTGGCGTGCTGAAATGGTATACCAGTATTTAAGGTTCAATTTTGTCTGATTTGAGGCGTCTTAAAAGAGATCACAGTCGAAAGGTTGTTATTCTTCATAAGACCTGAGAAGACAAGTATTTCAACTCGCCAGTGCGCTTCAAAACTATTTATTCATAAATAAATAAATAATTTTGTAAATAGTAAGTATAGTGAAGTGATAAAACGCGGATTAAAATTATGTGCCTTAACTCATTTATATGTAATAACGTCACAAGTCATTTTTATATGCTATTGAACCGGTGGTGTATATTTTTGCGAGCTCTCGACATATAGCATGATAGCCTTTTCTTTTACCCGACTGTAATGCAAAGGAGGGTAATGAGTTTATGTAGACTTAGTCTATTAGCTGGAGCAATAAATGATTAACTCATATTTCACTTAGTTCGTATTTTAGGACCAAGTATTGTCTACTAGTAAAAAATCTTATAAATTTTTCAGTTCTGTATGTAAACGAAGCTTACATTTTGATATTCAAAAATGATCCTTAAAGACTTTCAAATCCTTGTTCTAAAATTAACTTTGGTCTGGCTATCTTAAAGCATGTTTTAGAATGGATTTCATCACTTAAATATTTAAAGTATCTTTATAAATAAATGATATGTAACTGTTTTAAAATATTATAGTAGGAACAAATCAATTTTATAGTTTTTAATAGGCACGAGCGTCGCTGGTAGTAATAAGCTAATTCTATTTATTTTTTACATGTTTTTTGAATATGTAAACAGTTACATTTCTTTTTTTTTGGAGAAAATCACTCAATGATTTCTCCCGCCTTGGGTTAGGCGAGATGGAGTATCAGACTCTTACTGACTAAAAATCACCCCATTCCCACACCTGCTTTTCGAGCCGGAGCCCCGGCAAATCGTAAGGCCTTCCGCGGCTTCGTAGATACATTATATTTGGGAGTCGCCAATTTGACATCAATGTTGACCGTCTTTTAATGTTTTGGAAAAGAAAATCAGTGTCAACATCAAAAACTAAGGGTATATCTGTATTATCTTTAAATATTTTCTGGATTTATCTTTCAAAGTTCATTGCATCCAAGAATTTGTTTACATATTCACTAAACGTGAAACTAACCCTAGTTCACACGTTTCTCATAAAGCTATCGTATATTTAACTATTTTATGAACTGTCAATAATATGAAAACCCGTGTGGATAAGGCTTTAAATTAATATTGGGTTTTTGAAATCATTTACAACCAATGTTAAGAAGAAAATGTTGAAATTTTAATTGAATTTATGTTATACAACGAAAAATCGACCGTATTAGCAAGAAGTTAGGTCAGCAGTTCGGTTTGTGCATGATTTCAAAAGTCTAATTTCGATTTTATAAGGTAGGCTTAAGAGTCCAGTAACTTGGTGCTTTTGTATATCTTTAATATTTTCAAATACTTAGGTTAATTAAGGCGCAACGCTTCTAAACAAATTGCTGGCTCAACGCATTATTAATAATTATTTTCTACTATTATTCTATTCTAGTTAATAAGTTTGCTGTTTTAATACACCTATCATTTGATTTGTAAAATTTTTCATAATTTCGGCGCCAAAACGGGACGCCATCTTGGATTTTAACACACCAGCGCGTCATTCGAATTAGTATTTCTTTACTCACAGAATAAACTTGTATTAAATACGATCGTCAATTAAGCGACGCGATTTTTTCAATTAACACAATATAAAGTATTAATTTCATATCATTGGAACATTTTATATGGTCCTTGGCAGCTAGTCATGTCAGTTATGAAATTTGACAATTGACAGTAAGTCGCGCTGTCACCTTGACAGTTAGTATTATAGTTTAAATTTTAAATAGTATTATTACGACGATTATTTTTCTTGTGTAATTTATGATGGCGTAACTTAGATGTTCGTTTTAGTATCATGACAAAGCAATGTATGAATTTGTATGAAATATGCTTGTATTTGACCTAAATGAATATTTGTGTAACACGACGGGAGATGGTTTTGTACCGTACCTTTAAGGTACGAGTAAACTACGACACTATATTCCTACTGTGCAATCAGTGTATAAATCGAACGTCTCTGTATGAACACCAGCGTGTCTAATTGGAAAATTTATTGTGATACGATGTCTAACATGTTCACATGTCTGACGTTTATGTCACAATTTGTGTCGTAGTCTATTCGTATCTTTAGAAATGTTTCGAAATGTGTAAATATTTTAGAGCTATCTTCGAAGTTATGGTACGAAATCTGTTCCTTCGCCAACACTTCTCCAATTTGTACGTGACGCTTTTGTATTTTTGTTTTTTCATAATCGAGTTTTTTTCTTAGCATTTTTTTAACCTTTTATGTAAAAATACGCGCTATTTTAATGTACTTAGTGTAAATTTTGTAATCAACAAGGAGGCGAACTGTTCATTGAATTTATTTCGTGAAGAGACAAACTAATGAAATGTAGGAAAGAGTTTTATTACTAGAATAATTGTTACAACTTTCGAGTTCTCACTGGTAGAGCATTGATTACCAAATTATTTTAGCTCTTACCATTTTAGTCCTTATATTATACGCTCCAAGGTTTAAAATTCCGAGGTCTTGACAGTCTCGATTCACTGGACGTTCCCTAATGTAGGATGTCGACTGTTAATATTTTGACGTTAAATAATTTGTAATTGTGTTTTTCTCTTACCACCGCTTTAGACGCTTCCTTTATTAATAATGTATTTTCATGTGTAATTTTGGTTTGGACTCATTTGCTTAGAAGTGGGAGAAAGAAGGTTATACGACAATGTCTCGAAAGTATCCCCGAAGAAGAAAAGGGCAGGAAAAGCAGAACGATATTAAAATGTTTATAGGTCTGGAAACCAGATATACTGTTGGGTATCTTCTCTAATATCTTAAGCAAATGAGCCCGAAATCCGATCGCAATATTCACCTTTAAATGTAAATATTATCTACTCCTTTTTTGATTAGAAAACGTGACAGCTGAAAACTGAAAATAGTAAAATATAAACGCACAATGTTTGTCTAATACGTTTGTCTTAGAATGTATAAAGACTGGATAGTCATACTGAAATTTAGTAACAATTTTTATTTAATGCATCTAAGAAAACGTATGTAGAATTTTTAAATTTATTCGGTGCTAATTACTGTTTTGTCTTGTATACTGTGATTTAGAAGCTGGAAACTAGATATTTTCAAGTAATTTTTCAATAAAAATACGTATAATTATGTCTAGTTACCGCCAATCACAGACAAGATTTTTATATGAATGTAAGTAAATAAGTATTATGAACGGTTACAATGTATTGTTAATTCGATAACAGTTTGAGGTGAGGCTCTGCAATATTTTTAAAGCCTTTTTAGCATATAACACTACCAAGTGACTGCATAACATCTCTCGCTGTTCATCGATCTTGTATTAAATATTTGACAATAATTGCATAGCAAATATACATCTTTTCATATAAAAACTTATCTATATACATCATTTCTTAATGTAAAATGTAAGCTCAATTTTTTAATATAAATAATTTCATTCTTATCCATTTTTATACAATCTAAGATTTTACTATGTATGCCTTAATTCGGTGCTATTGTTAAAGTGCCAAATGCCTTTGAGCTAATATAAAAATTGTATAACATTTTACATGAAATTGTCAATATTTTATAAAATAAATAAATGTAGGTGTTAAGTGCCTTGTTGTGTTTTGATAAGTAATACTCAGATCATAAATGTTGCTACGAAAGTTGAACAGAAATATATATTTATTTTACTATTTTCATTGGTCGTATTATTTGGAAAACCTGATTTTCGCACTCACCAAATGTCACCACTTACGATTAAATACCCTGAGTATTAAGTACTATGAGACGGATCACAAGCTGACAATGTCTTTTGTCACTAAGCTTCCCAGTAAGTTTGGCAAAATAAAAGTCATAATAACAGTAACTTAAAATATGTATTTACACTTCAAATTGTTGGTCGAACTGTTCTTCAGTAATTTTCCGCTTTTTCAACTTCTTCATAAGCGCTATATCCGCTGCGAGTTCGTTCAGTTCCTCTTGTGTTACCGCTTTACGTTTACGCTTTTTCCCGCCTTCTGGGTCATTCTTTTTCAGCTCTTTTCGCTTTTTCCTCTTCTGTTTACGCTCTTCTTTATTTAATTTCGCTTGTTCCCATGGTTCTGATTGCGTCTGAAAAGAAAAATAAACCTATAAATATCGTAATAGAATTTCGTTTCAACTTTTTTACACAGGTCTAATTTCTAATAAGCTTTATAGGACTCAAAAATCTAACAATTTACAGTTCACAAACTCAACAAAAACCCTCACCATTTTCTTTTTCTTCTTTGATGGCCAAACACCAGTCTTTCTAAACTCTCCCAACTTCTGCAATCGACTAGCTTCCTTCTGTTTATCTTTATAAGGTATACTATTAAAATCTATATCTTCTTTCGGTCCAACAAATTGGTCTTTATGTTCTTGTTTAATTTCTGGCATTATGGGTAATTTTAGAAGGCCGTAGCTGGTGGCTATGTGGCCTAAGGGAAGTTCTTTGAACTGCAGTAGGAGGTTACATTCGTGTTTAGTGTAGGCTCGCATGTGTGATACGAAGGCGCGTTGTCCTTTGTCTAACACTGCTCTATCTTGCTTTTGTTGTTCGTGAAGCATTGCTAGGACCTGGAACATTTCATATAGAGCTTTTAGTGCCTAGTAGCCAAAACCATTTTTGTATGCCGGCGAACGAACTGACGGATCACCTGATAGTAAGCTGCCCATAGATCCCGGCAACACCAGAGGAATTTACAAGTGCGTTGCCAATGTTTCGATCCGACGATTCAGTAATTTGGGTTCAATAGCTAAAATATAAGCTATTAAAAAAAAAATAGTAGACTGTAAACTGTACTGAAGCATTGAGATCATACAATAAAAATAATGTTAGTTTTGCTGCTTGGTGTCTTATAAAAATAATTTTCATTTTCTTACCTTCTCTTTAAGCTTAGGATTAATTTTGATTTCATCTTTAGATTTCCTCCAATCCTTGAGTTCCACCATCTGATTGGTCTTGATGAAGGGTACATACGTATCCTCAGTGGGTAGTAGAGGTAACAGGGAGCACCCAGCGGCCCCGCCCCGCGCCGTGCGACCCACCCTATGTACTAGGGACGCAGGGTTCGTAGGAGGCTCCCATTGAAGAACCCACTCTACTTCTGGGATGTCCAGACCTCTGTAAAGAATAGACTTATCTTAATGGTAAATAAAATAAATTTCAGATGAATATTAGTGGCAATGTAGTTAGTCCATGCATTTTTTGCTAACACAACTTGGTATTATCATTCTACTAGTTTAATTAGACTTACATTTGTATTCTTACTAGCGATTTGACTCAAGTAGATAAAAAGCTGTAGACGCCAATGGGCCGGATTTCTTTATTTAAATTTCAACTTCATTACTTTAGATTAAAGTCGAAAATCCAATGAAAACTATTGACAGATTGGAACAACTTACCTCGCCAAAAGATCTGTACACAACAAAATGGTATTTTCAGCCTGTCGGAACTTCTCCAATATCTTACTTCTCTTCATTTTCATTTTACCATGGATCGCAAAGATTTTTATGTCTGGCAAGAACACTGGCAACACATCGGCCCAGTAATCGACGCACGCGCAAGTCGGTAAGAAGAATAATCCTTTAGCGATTTTCCTGTTTCTTATGAAATTGAGGAGGAAGAGGAATTTGTCTTCAGGTTCAACTATGACATAGTAATTTTCTAGAAGAATTGGCGTGCTGATGGTGGATTTTTCCTTCACACTCACAACTACTGGGTTCCTAAGTCCTGCTCTGACTAGATCTTGTAGTTCTTTAGTCTGTGTGGCTGAAAATAAACCTGTTCGTCTTTGCCTTGGTAAGTATTGGAGAATAGTTGTGAGTGTTTGGCTGAAACCTAGGTCGAGAAGCCGGTCTGCTTCATCAAGGACTAGGATGTCCTGTAAATAAAACAGAGGATAAGGTTTTTTTTTACTTTTTGGGCAGTTCTAACACATAAACTTTTTTCCCTTAGACTCAGAAATCTTACACAATTTTTCAAGTTTTTAAATTACTGAAGGTGCTAACAACAAGGAATTAACAAAGTGCCCTATATTACAGTGAGAAGAAAAAAGCTATTTAAATTATAAGCAAATTAAACAGGCCTCAAGAGTTAAGATAGCTACAATATCCTTTAATCCCTGGTAGGAGTAATACATCAAGAAGAAGAAAAATACAGATTTTTTTTGTGGCATAGGCCTGTAAACGAGCAGACAGATCACCTGAAGGTAAGCAATCGGCGTCGCCCATGCCCACCTGGAACACCAGAGGCGTTACAAGTGCGTTACTGGCTTTTTGGGGATTAGAAGTTTGAGGGTTGTTGGGGATTCAGGGATTGGGGAGATTGGAGAAGGGAAGGGTCATCGGGCCTCCGGTAACCTCGCTCACACGACAAAACACATGCAAGCGTTGCTTTACATCAGTTTTCTGTGAGGCCGTGGTATCACTCCGGTCGAGCCGGCCCATTTGTGCCGAAGCATGGCTCTCCCCCACTTCAAATTGATCCATTGAGACCCAAAAATAATTACTTAAGACTTCCAACTAACCATCTCTTTCAGCCTCCCAGCAAGATTTAGCTGCTTTCTCTCAGCAAGCAAGTCTCCCAGCCTACCAGGAGTGCATACGGCTATCTGACCTCCTTTCTGAATGGCCTCTATGTCGGCTTCTACCGGCCGCCCTCCAAGGAGCAGAGTCATTGTTATGTGAGATAGCTCAGGCTCTTGAAGAAATAGTTCTATCACCTGAAAGGCAATTAAGATTTAGCAAATGTCTTTAATAATAATCCCAATAAGATAAACTTCAAGTTGATGGTGAATGAATATAAATTCATAGCACTAAATATAAATTAAAATTACTAAATGCAACAAGTTTTAGATGAAATGTAAACAATCATGTTGTTATAAACAATGTTCAGTTTCTTAAGTATACCTATTACATGTTTCTAGAAGTGATTAATTAAAAAGAAACGAATGATACATATTAATACGATACCTTGTAAATCTGTGAAGCTAGTTCTCTAGTTGGTGATATGATAACAGCATAAACAAAATCTTTCCTGAGTGGAGATTCCTTTTGTTTCTTTATTAACATTTCTAGCATAGGCACAACAAAAGCCAATGTTTTACCAGATCCTGTCACAGCCTCCGCGACCACATCTTTACAGGACATGATTAAAGGTATCACCGCAGCCTGAATAGGAGTCATGGTCTTGAAACCCTGTTTTTCGATACATGACAACACTGGCTTTGATAGCCCGGGTGATATTTTAGCCCAATCTTTTATAACCATTATTATTTCTTATTTTATTGCCGCAAAAATGACAAAATATTGTACATTGATTACACCATGTGGTTTTGACAGTTTTGTTTTGACATTAGTTTGTTTATTTTGACATTGACAGATGCTAATACAGTGTTACAAGCAACAAAAAAATTTAATTGAATCTGTAATAATTACTTGTTTGTGATAAAAGCCTAAATATACAGTAAAACTATAGTAAAATGTATTTTTTTACGATCATCTACCGATTTACGATCATCTACTTAACCTACTTTTCAAAAAGAAAAAGTGAAAGGTGTGTTTTCTTTGATCTTATAACTTTTGTTCGTTCAAAAACAACAATACTAAATGCAATGAAATAAAATGTTTTAAATGTCTTTATTTAATTAATAGACATATATTTTGTACATGTTTGATGATCGCATAATATAAGATAAAATAAATAGCACTTATAAGCAGCTTTTATAATTTTTCTAAATTAATTTCAAAACTGTATGCAGGGTTCCAATAATTTATTTTTTATTGTGGTATTGGAATCAATATGGCGCATGTTGATATGACAAATTGACAGCTGTGTTTTGTCCCGTACGTTAGCTGTGATGTTTATTTTACATCTCCAGGCAGATAACAACAATATATAACCATGACGAGGCCGTTCGGTAATAACGACAAGCGTTTTTCAATCGACGATGCATTTGAAGAAGAAACCGATGAAGCCATTAAAGTTTACGGTGCTACAGGAGACAGATCGCCTTTACAGAACAAATACAAGAATGGAAATGAATATTTGGCCAGGTATGTATGTAAAATTTACTTAATAATTAGTACTTTTAGGGTTGTTGTTGATCATAAAGGTTCATTATGAAATACTTTTCTTTGTGCTAAAATGTCAGTATGTTCGTGACCTTTTCGTGAGTCATGTTTCCTTAGTGGGTTAAAGGCAGTTGAACCTGGCAGCCGTTACTTGGTTTATAGACATAGTTCTGAATACGGCGCCGCTAATTACTTGCAAACAAGCGCTAATTAATCTTGTTCACTAACCCATTTTATGATGTTAGTGTTCATTTTGTTGACCTGATATACATAGATAAAGTGTTACATATAATTTACTAGGAAGTAGTTTACACATTTGTCTTTTTATTTGTTAATGCTGATAGGAAACTTTGTCTTATTTTATTCTTAGTATTGGATTAAATAAAAACTCATTGTATTACCACAAAACACTATTTAGGGTACCAACAATGTTTAAAGAATAACTTAACAGATAATATAAAAATATGCAAATACCAGTAAATAATACATCATTAACCATAGTTTACAAGATCAGCATGCATAATTCTTGCTTAATTGGCAAAGGCATCAACATATTCAGCCTCAACCAGCCTACCTTGAATATGTTTTTTAGCATCTGAGAAATGTCACAAGCCAATAACTTATACTTTTTATGGTGCACTTGCAACAGTGTTAAGTTTAAGATTTCGTTTTGTATTCATTTTCAAAATGAAAAACATTTTAAGATTAAGAATGTTCCTGTATTTTGTGGTAGAAACTACCACAGATACAGAAAGTTGACAATTCAAGAGTGGACTAGAACCTAAACTTAAGCTAACACTGTTATTTCTCTTGAATATTATTCATCATTAGTTGCTCATTCATAGCTCAGCCAGTGATTTATTCAGCCTGTTTTTAATTGTCTATTATACAGTCTTATGGATAATTAAAAACTACAACATTATTTACTGGAACTTAGGCATAAAATTCCTGTTTAGATGAGACATTAAACAACAATCTACCATATTTATAAAAAAATAAACCGTGGTTTATTACCAATTCAATCTATTTAGGTAGTTGATAATTATACTGTATTCTATTTTCATTAAAAATTTTACAACACATTGAGGTAAATGAAATATTATGAAGTGATTTGTTTCCTCATATAATTATGAGGAAATTTGTTTTGAATTTGTAATAAACATTATATGTATATTAGTACATATAGAAATAAACATTATATGTATATAAGTAAATTGATAACCAAACCAACTTACTTTTAGTTACCTATGTCAGTATTATTTTGCAGATTTATCCTCTAATTAATACCACACCACAACATGAAAACATATTTTAGTACTAAGTATTTTTAGGGAACAGAGAGTATAGTTCCCTAAAATCGGAAAAGGAGGATCCTCCGACCAGGCGAGGTGATCGTGCCTGGCGGGCTTTCTGCCCAACAGTTGTTCGTTGGGATTTTCTATCCGTGTTTATTCACTTGTAAACTTTGCATGTGCGATGTAGGATTCTTGTGACGTCATCCGTTGATATGTGGCATGCGTCGCCACATATTATAAGTTACAATAATTTTAAAAGGACTAAAGAACAATAAAATGGGGGTTCTAAAAAAATAATTTATTTTAATTAATTGCTTCCAATGGTTCTAAAATTTAACAAACATCACATACATTTTTTATTACTTAAATAGTGGTTGCTAAAAAAGTAAAAACCATAAAACTCGATAGAGTTCTTTATTTTTCTTTTTTTTTATGGAGTTCTTAGTACATCTTCTAAGAACTAAAAACCACAGACCACAGAACTCCATCCACTAAAAATCTTAACTATTCAGTCCCCAAGCGATCACCGGTGACCACTCTCCATTTACTCAAAGTCAAAGTAAAAATCATTTATTTCAATTACACCAGAAAGGCACTTTTGAATGCCAACAAAAAAATTAAAAGTGAAGGTATTTGCTCCTCTCCATCTCTCCTCCATTATAGACCTCTTTCCAACCTCTAAAGACTACTTTTAAATAAACAAATATTGTGGATTTTTCATAATTGTGAATTAAGAAATTTTTTTACTTCCCTCAATACCCCAAATAACACCTCTAATCATTCACATCACTTACAAATTTTAAGAGATAATGTTGAAATTGAGCAGGTGTCACTGTCTTCACATCTGAGCCTTATTTTACTAAAACTGGTATAACAGGTCTCTCATGGGACCGAAAGGTGTTCTGATGTACCTTTTTGAAAGAAGTATATAAACTTCAGATTATAGTCTTTTATAAGTTTTTTTGCACCATGTGACAGACTCAGGAATTCTAATGACACCAAATGATTCACTGTACATTATTGTTGAGCCAATTTTTGCTGTTATATTCTGTAACCTCTTGTTCTAATGAATGTACGGAGTACTCATCAATTAAAGTGATGACTAATAACACGGCATGGTCTTCTTTTTTATCATTTTAACTTATATCATTCAGTTGAGGATATCCTCTTTGAGAAGTGACTTGTTTATTTAGTTACAAATCTATTTTTTATTATCTGTGGTTGTGAAAATGGAGTGCATTCAAGAAAAGAGTTTCGATACTATCTTTGTAAATGTCAGTCTGGAAAAAAATAACAGGTTCCGTTTCTTTTATCTAAGTGCTACTTTACTTGTTGTTCGTTATCTTTGTGTAAATCCTTTTTAATGCATTTGATAATGTGGTTGACTTAAATATAGGCTTTGCACCTTTGAATCAGGTTTGGTTGTATTGCGTTTAATGTTTATTTTCCTTTATGTGTCCTTATAAACTTTATTATTAATTTCATAGTAATAAAAGAGGACATATTTTGCTTGTGGCAAGTTTTGAACCAATTAGCGAGTACAAGTTCGGGTACAGTATAAAGAATGCTGTTGAATTAACTAACGTTTATCAGACATTTATGTTTGCTTTGGAGTTAGTAACTTTCGCGGTTAGTCGAGCAAATAAGCGCTTACGCATATTGAGAGGTCTTAGTCAAAGTAAATACATAAGTATTAAAATGGTGTGTTTCTCTGAATATCTCTTAACACGTCAATGTGATAAAAAAGAGAACTTAACGACGTCAGTACGTATTCTTAAGTCCTGGGCAAAAAACAAAGTCACTGAGGGTGATTCAGGGATGCTTAACATTTTAAATTATAATTTCATCCCGAACTATTGCCGCACTAAGGTGAAAAATAGGTACAGAATAGCACATTATCTTATCTAAATCACTATTTTCGGCAGTTGTGTAAAAAGTATCTAAATAAAATACCTAAATCACATGAACCAATCGAAAATAAAAATAATTAATTATATTTATTAAAACCTACAGGTAATAGTTTTATATAATGTTCATTATAAAAACATGAAAACAATTCGTTGATATAAACTGAAAATGAATTGGATCAAGGATAATAGATTTGTGCATTGTTTTGTATTGTATTTTATTTTATCAAAACAATAACAGATAAACATTTATTATTTGTATCCGATAGGTATTTTCTAAACAGTTCTCGAACGTACCTACTGAAGATATCGCCGTTATCGGTATTACCTATTATGGCGCTAATAATAACTGATCCTTAACAATGTTAAGTATTTTAAATGGTTTACCTTCTAATTTAAATGGAATTTATTACCTACTATGTTACATTTGCCATTTCTTCCTTGGTTGAGTGGTCTAAGCCATGACTACAGAGGATATGAAATTTCGTTTAAAACAGTGTTTTATCTATAGGTAATATAGGGTTAGGTAAGTACTCATTAATGGCATGGAGTTTGCAACTATGTCTTGTGTTTAGAAATTTAAAAATAGAAGTAATACCGGCGCGGCCAAGTGCAAATCGAACTTGCAAAAAACAGACAATTCTTTGTTGTTTTTTTTATGTTTACATTAGAACGTATAAGTATTAGGTAGGTTATGGGTACCTACTATGTTTAATAAGCTCAAAAAGCGACAGACTATTTTTGTTCCGATATACCCGTGTTATCTATATCTTCTCGAGAGAAACCTTCTAAATTACATGCGAAAAATTCGCAGGCGAAGAAGTATTGTGTAAGAGCTGTTCAAAGACCGAATACCTACCTACTCATTCTTTTACCAATACCTAGAGGGTACAGATTAATATTAGGTAAACTTTATTATATCTATTAAAAGGTGTAACGAAATTCTAAAATAATATTTTGTGGCTTTGAAAAGTATTCATAAAAACGCAAAAAATCCAATTCAAGGTTCTATTTTAATCAAAATTATAATATTATAAATACAGTTATGACGATATAATATGGAGTAGCCGAATTTTAGATGTTATTAAATCATGCAGAAAATGAAAGTAATCGATACCTCAAACGATGTTTTACCAAGGTTTTATTCAATGCTAACCTTAATCAGTAATCTCAGTGGTGTCGGCTCACCGTCTCATAAATGTACCTTCATACATTCCTAAGGCAGTTAGCTAGTTTATATAAATCGTGCACAATTGACCCTGCAAGGAATTTCATGTGGGAGGACGTACTTCCTATTCCTAGTTTGTTAATCGAACTGGCTAAGAGAACGGCGCAAGAGCACCTCTTATACAATTTACTCGTTTCATTTATTTGGTTTACTAAAAGAACATAATATTGTGAATAAAGCAGAAAGCTGTTGCAATTATTCCATCACGTTTCGTTTTCACGTGTATTCATTGTCAGTGTTCAAATTGATCTTCAGAAAATAGTGCTATAATGTCTATCAGTCTATCTACAACATAAAATCAAACCGTGCACTTGAATGAGATAAAAATTGCAAATCTTAAACTCGTAATGTTATCTTAATGTACTGCCACTATCAATATTATTTACAACATTTACGCTTATCAGACCAACTAGCCAAGGTCATCAGTTAGCACACAGCATTTCATGTCGATAATAGATGCGTATCTCCCTCTTGCAGCACCAAAACCTACAAATGCACAGAGGACACGACGTCGAGAGATTCGGACTCCCTGATTCACGAGTATGTGGAGGCAACGCAGTCCATGTACTGCTGGAATCATCCGAAGGTCCGGGAGAACTGGAAGACGGTGTGTGCAGCCGTTGTGCTGCTACTAGTCGGAGTGGGGCTGCTCGGCATGGGAGCCTTCGCAGTCGCCGAGCCGGAGAACGGCCTCCAAGGTGCAGTATTCTTTGTAGCCGGCATGATCTGCTTCGTGCCCGGCGCCTACCACGTCGTGTACATCTGGCTCGCCGCCCGGGGACAGAGAGGCTACGACTTCTACCACCTCCCGTTGTTTACCTGATTTATTTTACCTTTTAAGTTTGTGTAAGCTTGTAAAATGAGTGTAAATTATACGAGGAGTCGGAATATCATGTCTGGAGATGTTTGTTTTGCGGTTTGTTTTGTTTTGCTCTCTAAAGAAGTTAAATCGATCCGATGTAGGTATTGTAGATAAATGAACAAAAAAACAGTAATAAGGGTAAGTTTTATAACTTTTATAGCTTCTCTTGTTGACGAAAAAATAAGAAAAAAATATCTATTTCGAAAGATGCTTCTCCTATAAACGTTATGATAACAATGTTGAATGAAATTGAAGAACTATTTATTAAAAACTAAATTTAAATTGTGTTAGTATGTTACGTAGATCGTCCTCCTAAATAAATTATATTGAAATTAAATACTTAATTATAAAAACAGTACTTTCTTTGTATCTGTAGGATTGCATTTCCAAATGATACAGAGATCTTACGGTTTTACAACCTATGTGTAAATAATAACCACGTTGAATATTAAAAAATGTTGCAATTTGAAAGATTGTATTGAACAGTTGAAAAAGAAAGAAATGTATTTTCTGCAAACTACTTAACTAAATGATATAGTGATATAATAATTTTAAACATAATTATAATAGACTTGAAGTGCCTAGTTGCATAGATACGTAGTTGAGAAGAGATTTGGGTTACAATAGCAACTTTGTAAGGTTTTAATCCGAGAATTTTGTCAGTGTCCATAATATTTTGGCGGTATAATTATCCCATAAAAACAAATGATCCATAGATAATTTTACCAGATGTATGCTTTTAATTTCCCGCCAAAATATTGTTCTAATTTTAATGTTTACGAACTTTTTTGTACGAAGACTTAAATACTAATTTGGACTTAAAGATAGAAATATTATTTTACTATTAATTAGGCATTTAAATATTATCCATTTAAAATTAATTTCGATACAAAATTCAATTTTCTCCGCGTTGCCAATGAAAAGGATGATGATTCAAAATATTTCTTTTTTAGAAGTTTGAACAACTTTTACTTTCGTAGAAACAGGATTTATATTTTTATACTTTTGAAGAGTTCACTTGGCAGGAGAAAGTTATTTATGTTTATTGTCGAAATATGAATTAGAATCGCGGTCTCTAGTCTCTGTGTTGCTAGAAGACTAATTTGATTGATTTCAAAGTCGTTTGTGCGTGAGGTGATTCTAGAACAGACGCGCCAATAGCGTGTGCCCTTGACCTATCGACGTGTAGTGAAATCCTACATATTTTTTTCCTCATACTTTTTTTATAAGACATAAAGCCGCGATCATAGTCTATGATTCTAATCGACCACGGTAAACTTTCTGTTTGCATTATTTATGCTTTAGCACGTTATGCGTTGACGATGGAATTCATAATGTGGATTAATTGGCAAGTCCATTGATTTTATAATTGCGAAATCTTTTAATTAATTGCGACATTACCAGGTGTGGTCCATATTAACTGTTTCTAAACAGTTCCGTATCGACTTATAATGAAATTGTATTGCGAAATAATATAATTAAGAATTTACAGGAAAAAATATGAAACAAAATGATATAAGAATGTCGGCGTGAGAAAATATTTTCATACTTATAATTTTTATGAGTGCACCCTCGGCTGCGGTGTTGCGGTTCCATATTGTTTGAAAATAATTTTAAATGGATTTTATTTTAATATCTAGCAACGCGTCCTACTTATAGAGTTTCCTCATCGATATGAACATCGACTTTCTCCTATGGTCTTTGTATCGATGGTTGACCTTGGCTATTTAGATTTTAAAATACTTTTTACATTTTTTTAAGAAACTTTGCTTGTGTGTAGTCGTGCGTCCATTATTTGACTATGCACAGAGTTGGAGCAAAGTCGAGTGAAACTATACGACTCTGCTTCACCTCTGTAGACAAAAGTCGTCCTAAGCTGCCTGTTAATAGAGTACTTTTTGAATTAATAGTCCCGAATTTGAACGTTATTTTTTATTTAATTAGTTCTAAACATAAATATCGAGTTTCGTTTCACGCGCCAATTCGTGTTCCTTGCATTTTCCAAAGATATACAAATTTATAATCTCGCAATGTTTCTTTATTTATTTTTTTTACAACGAAACTCGAAATTTGCAATGTATAATTTTAACATAAAATAATATGAATTATGCTCATTTTTTTAATGTTAATTTAAGATGTTGTTCGTATGTGATATAGTGACTGATTTTGTATTACATATCAGTATGTTTTTTTTGAGGATGCGGCGGAACTATTGGCTAGCTAATGGGATTGATGCAATAACATTTAAAAATTAAAAAAGAACCTCTTTTTTTAGAGACTAAAAGTGCTTAAAACATACCTTCTTATAGTGAAATACCTCTCAGTTTTTACCAAAGTCAATGATGAAATGCTACAGTTACCATGACCTATCTCCATGATTACTACCTACTTAAATGTTCCTTTTTTACCACTTAGCCACTAGCGTTTTTTCTTATCGAACCCTTTATAACTTAATAAAATATGTTCCTTTTTACAACAAAATGCTCTCATTTAAAGGTAACTAAATTGCCTTTTATACGACTGCCTCGTTGGCCGAGTGGTCGCAAGTGCGACTTTCGGGCAAGGGGTCTCTGATTGGATTCCTGGATAGGACCAAATTATTACTGTTTCTTTTTAAATTCTCATTACTAGCACGGTGTCTGAAATTGTGCCCGATATAATAATGGCAATAGGCTCACCCCCTATTACATTGGACTCATAATGTAAATAGTGAAAAGTGGGTATTTTACAGTGGCATAATGTGCACCTCTGCCTATCCCTTCAGGGATAAAAGGCGTTATGTTATGTATGTATGTTACGTTACGTTACCAATTAATAAAATACTTGTCTCAGTAAATATTTATCAAGAAATGTAAAAGAAGAAACGGTAGTGGTTCAGTTTCTATAGCACCAAACAAACCTATGCACTGAGTTACATAACAATAGATGACGCTAAAACATTCAATATTGTCTATGTTTTACGTAAATTCATTTGTTTATGAACAGTTATAATGACAAAAGAGGTCGTCATCAATGAATCAACTGTTTTGTATATTGTATAGCGGTGACGGTGACCAAATGGCGTCATCGTGTTTATAAATAGCGATGTTTCTCTGTAGGGCTTCCTCACGCATCCTCACTGTACCAGGTCTATTCGCGCTGATGTTGTATAATTATTATTGTACTGTATCTTAGGTTGTGTTCACCATGTAATGTTTCCCATTTACAATCCTGTTCCCTGTAATGTGAAGTTGTAAATAGTTTCTAATAAATTAGTCATCTTTCTTCAAACTTGTGTTTTATTTAATTTGAATAGTTTATGGCTGTATTCCTTGTGTGCTGTCAAATTGTCAATATCGGTCTAGTAGTTGCATGAATGTCGTCATCAAATTCAGAGTTTCTGTGATCGTGTGGTTGCAAGCGCGATTTGAGCAAGAGCTCTCAAGTTCGATTCCAGAGTCGTCAATTGTCGCTGAGAACCTAACGGGTAACCGGGGCTCCGGCTCGACGTGCAGGAGAAGGAACGGGGTGGTTTTTAGTCAGTAAGAGTCTGACACTCCCTCCCGCCTCAACCAGGCGGGAGCAGTCATTCGATGATTTTCCCTTTTTTTTAAAAAAAAAGAAAGAGTCGTCAATTGGGTACTTACCAAGAGTAGTCAAATTGAATACTTTTTTTCGAACTGTCAAATCTTCAGAATTCTATGAATTTTGTACGAGATTGTGTATTGTGACGTCACGTTTTTTCAGCGTCAAACAGAATACTTATTTCTTAAAAATTTGCTAGAACTAGCTAGAACCTAGTAAAATTAAGTTGGTTATAAAATCAATTATTCAAAGTGTGAATATTTTTTAATAAGTACCTATTTTATTATATAGATCGAAATAATTTATTTTGATTGAGGAAAGTTCCCAATTATTGGGGTTTTTTCGTTAGTCATCTTAGCTCACCACGGATACTCACAACACTAGAATTAGGTACAAGTGGGTTGCGTGCGGGCTTTTTTGTTTTTTCCTGTTTCCGGTAACCTACCGTTATGGTGAAACAAAGTGGGTATTATAACTTTCGTGAGACTACTAAATTAATTGATTTAAATAAATATAAATGAATTTCCGTTTGTTAGCAGATTTGGCAAGTATTGCCTCTTTAAATAAAGGCAAATACGAAAAAGTACTTTGTTTATAATATTTGCGTTTTTGTAATTCTACTATTCGAATTAAACCAGGTACCTATATTAATTTTGATGAAACCTTTCTGGGAAAGAACGTGTGATAGTTTAAAAATACAGTATTTTTTTCTTATTGTTTGGTCACTCACAGTTTCGTCTGGTGGCAAGCGAAGCAATGGAGGGCACAGGCTGTACTTTTTCATGGATAACACATAAGGCATTATAATTTAAAAACTATAAGACTTGGTATTTTTTTAATAGTTTTCTCTATAACTCTTAGAACCTTGCCTATCACCTGAAGCCATTTGATAGGTGACTTTAGGGACACCCTGTATGTTTTTAATTCACAATAATATTAATGATTGTGTAATAACTCTAGAAATAGAAGTCAAATTTAAAACATTTTTACTATCCGATAATCTATAATAATGTTACAGTATCTTGCAAAATGTTACGAAATTGAGTATTAGCATATGTAATACGGAGAATACACAGTAAACATTATATTACAATATGCAGGTGAATTGATACCAAACAATCTCTAAAGGGTTTAAATAATAAAACACAGTAGCTAATCTTAACACTATATTAAATGTTTCCTTGCTATCCTTCTGAGCTTGAAATGCTGCAAAAACCGTAATTCTCCATTCCAATTCCTCAATACTTCCATCTGCTGCCGATCTAGGAGGTCAGGCATCTCTATACCGCAAGTTTCGAACTCTTCATGTTCCTGTTTCTTCGTAATATTTATAATATCCTCCCTACTAGCATGCTGACGATTTCTCCTCTGTCCTACAGAGTTCTTTAATGCAATCTGCTCCAACTCCTCGTCAAACCGCGCCAAATACTCCTCTATCAGTTCCAAAGTCTGTTCTTTCGATAAAACAACACAGTCTTCCGGTAACCTCTCTTTAAACCAAAGAATCTTTTCACCGATTAAGTTTTGTTTTATGTGTGTTCCTACTTTGTTCTGATCCTTTTTCTCGTGTTTCTTGATTTTGCTGATGATCTTTAACGTTTTTCTACTGTTTGGATGCTTCAGTTTATCGATATCCTTCTTAATTTTAGGCATTTTGAGGTTTATTTTGGGTATATTCACAAATTCTCACGTGTTTCGTTTTGTTTTGTCGTTGATATTGTCAAAGTTGACAGTGACAATGACAATTTGTCAACATTGAAACATTTATGAAGACAAGAAAATTTAAGAGAATTATCAAATTATAGTTTTTTGCACCTTGCCAAAAATACTAAAATCTGTACATAAAATGTACTTTGTTTAACTTGTTACTTTATTCTATCTCATTAACTTCTTCGAACACAAATAGTTCTTTTTTTCATCGAAAACTAACTTCAGAAACGCCACTGAATGATTGTCAAAAGTTGAATATGAATTGTCAAAACAAAAAATAACCTATAATAGTTTTGTTTGTTACTTTTTATCATATATAATAGATTAAACTAGTGTTTTTGTAACAATAAACCTACTCGACTGTGTAAATAATTAGTTTTAATAAAACAAATCATGTTGAAACGCCCTAAGCCTGGTGAAGATGAGGAAGATATTCTTCGCATGCAAGAGGAATTTCTTCGAGAAAAACAAAATCAAAACTTGCAACCAGCGGCTGCTGTTACTAATTTACGTCCAAATGAACGTACAAAGCGATCAAATACTAGCGAGACAGGTAGGAAACCTTCCAAGTTTGCCCAGGCTAAAGGCTTAAAGGGCCAGACTGAGAAAAAGGCACGATTTGAAGGATCGACTTCTGTAGTAGGAGATATTTTAGAAAAGAACGTGGAAGATCCAGAGAATATTGAACCTGAAGCTGAAGATGATCAAGTATATTATCCTAAAGTTATACCTTCGCTCTTGGGCAACATTGTTGAAAAAAATGTAGCAGATTTTGTTGATTTTGATGTGACAGAGATGCCATCACAAGGGTTTCCAGTAGTTACTAAGCAAACCAGTTTATTCTATAAGAAAAAGAAAGAACAAAGTAAAAATGAAAATGTTAATATGGATGTTGATGAACCATCACCCAGTACCAGTGCTGATACCAGTAAAAAGCCACCAAACTTGAATTTACCAGAAAAGAGTTTTATATTATCATCGAAAGATGCAGATGATATTCACAATGAAAATGTTAAACTTCTTAGTGAGATGTTAGAGCAAGATATCTTAGAAGAAAGGAAGAAACTCCTCTCAAGCATTGATCCTAATCTGGTGGAGTTTCTGAAAAACAAAAGACAACAAACTACACAACCTGAAAGTTCCAAATCAATAGAAAAACCTATTGCTAAAATTGAAAACAAAGAATCTAGTGAGGAAGCCATGGACACTACTGTTGCCATACCAGAAAACAATAACCTTTGGGAGAACGATGTCCTGACTCACCCAGAAATAAATAAATGGCTCCACTTTGATTCATTAGAAAAAGACAAACTAGAATGGATGAAAGGGATAGAAGAAAGCAAGAAAGTGAGAGCAGATGAGCCGTACGAAGCAAGGTTTGACTTCAACGGATACCTTTTACCTTACACAATTGAGTATAATGACAAAACTAAACCATTGTTTCATCATGGTGATGAACCACATAGACCAGGGTATTCTATTACGGAATTAATTGAACTGACACGGTCAACAGTCACCCAACAAAGAGTTATGGCACTCAACACAATAGCTGGCATCATAGAATATTACAGTGCGGGGACGTACAAGAATGTCATTGAAATACCTGTTAGCAAACTGTTCTTTATTATCAGGATAGCAATGGATGACAATAAAGTAATTATTCTAGAACCAGCACTGAGAGCTATGAGGAATCTCTTGTACAATAGGATAGATGAAGCCAGTTTAGATGCTTTGATAGGCTTTGAAGAAGGCACACTACAACCTTGTTTGGAAAATGACAAGTCAGAAATTGAAGAACTGCAGTCCAAAGAATCAGAGTTCACAGACTACCATTTAGCAGAAATAGACATAATGACAGCACTACAGAGAACAGAGATCCTCCAGAGGTTGTACTATATCCTGGAGACAATCAAGCCAAACTTCAACTGTGTTCAATATTCTTTGCAAATATTGTCTAGGTTAGCAAGAGACTCCCTAGAAACTGCACAGAAGATTGTAGAAATGGAACATTTGATGCAAACAATAATTAAGAACTTTGTACCAGTGTCGAGCACTAATTTTGTCTTTGAACCCAGCATTGTTTACAATGGGAAGCCAATATTAGCTGCTCTGAAGTTTATCAGAATAATGTCTTTACAATCCCTGGATATAACCAGAATCCTGCTAATCAAATATGATTTATTGAAACCTATATCAGAGTACATTAGTTCTGCAGTTGATAGGATGTATGGATTGAAAATACAGATAGAAGCTTTTTGTACTCTCTCCAACATACTGTGTTTTGGTCTGGGAACTGATGTGGCAGTCTCTCTATTTCCTGTGATTGTTACTGCATTGCATAAACATGTAAAAGGAACTGATATATTTGTGAAGTCTTCTATTTTGTCAGCAACCCATGCAGCTGTAGTCCTTCAATTAGTTAATAGACTTCTAAGATGCATATTAGGTGGAATGGACAGTTACAAGTCCCAAATATATCCTCTGCTGAAAGAAGGTGTTCAGAAATGGATGGGCCAGTTGTCTCAATCTAGTAGTTACACTTGTGGACATCTGCGCCTTCTTTGTTCAGCTATAGACTGCTGCAAAACAGTCACATTGATAGAGAATCTTCCAATGAAGTTCCTCAATGACTCTCTAAGAACTCTGTCCCAATCCCAAGGATTCGCAGTTATTATCAGAAATCTTATACCCAGTTCAAATCTATTGTCAGAATTAGATAATAAGGACCTACATTTAACCAAGAACTTGATGTCACTTGGAGGGTCAGTCATAGACTCAGCTCAGAAAGTTCTACCGATTTTGAATATAGCATCACCCATGCCATTTCTGGCGTCACTTTTCAATCTTCTGACTTACGTAAATGATAAAGAAATATCTGAGATGTTCCTAAGACATCTGACCATGTATTTAAGCAAGATCAGCAATAAAGTGCCAAGTTTATGTGATAACTGGTTTACAAGAATGGAATCCAATTTCGTTTTCAGTATTATAAAATTATCTACACAGTATGATATTTCAGAAGGAAGTAAAGACTTGCTATATACTGTGGCTAATAAGCTATGTTATATTCTGAGAAATGACAAGAAATATGAATTAGATTTTCTGTTTGGATATGTAGTATTCAACAAACACTGGTTCACTGCTGAAAGATTGTTACATCTTGTGAACTTGACTGATGCAGATGGCTTTTCTAAAGCTCTGACGTCAATCGAGGATATAAAACTATGTTACAGTAGAGTGGTGAACATTAATTACAGAGATACAGGGCCTAATATAAAGTTCAAGAGTTGGCAAGAGCCAATTTTGCCGAGGGATTGGATTTACTTGCCAATTTTAACCCTGTACAGCAGAAGTCAAGAAGCTGATAACAGTCCGAAAGTTTTTGGTGAACACTCCAGGAAAGTCGCAGCGAGAATAGCTGCTGAGAAGGAATTTATTACGCGATGTAGTTTGGAGTGGATATTATTCAATGAACTGTGCTTCCCCGATCTATTGAACGACATCGACGTTACTGACAGACTCTGTCGCATCATGTGCGTGTTCCTTAGCGACAACTCGCTGTTTTTGGATCCCAAAATAAAAATGTTGCTCAAGAAATGTACAGAGATTTTGTTCAAAAAGAAATCAAAATTGAATTTCGACAAACAACTGGTTGGATTGCATAATTTCCAGGATTTCTTCACACAGTTTCTGGAGCAGTTCCAATCAGTCAGTTATGGAGACCCAACTTTTGCTGCTTGCGTTTTAGTGCCATTAGCACAGAGGCATGACGTAAAGTGGCGCAAGCTCCTATGGTCGGAATATGCTGGGTGCTTACGAGCTCTAGATTGCCCTGAAGAATATCTTTGTTACGATATTAACGAGTATTTACAGCCTGAAGAAACAGATGAGTCCCTGATACAATCCTATTTCCGAGCGCTTTCAAACAACTTGGTAAGGGAAGGCACTATAGCGCATAAAATAGCACTCCATCACGCTACATGTTACAAAAATCGTTCTGTATCTAAAGAATAAAGGACTATCATATTTGTAAATTGGATGTTATTGTTTTATTTTAAGGTATGTTCCCGTACTTGTCAGTGAAATGCGATTTATCATTTCCCAGATCAAGTAAAATTTATTTTTCCCAATGATTTTTTATAGTACCTACTATAAAAAATCATTGATATTTTCCATTTACTTGTTTATACTCTGCCTATACTGGAAAAGTCATTTCAAGACGTTAGTCTGTCTCAGATGAACTTAATTATTGTCGGTACACAAGGAACTTATTTCATTAGAACGAATCCCTCGAAGTCCCTCTAGTCGAGTCCTTGGATCCTATAAATATCAAAGACAGGTCTTTATGGATTTTATTATCTGAAATAAATTGGTATTATTATTATTTCCACATCTACTAGGCTAGGTACCTGTCGCGGAGAACCTAACGGGTAACCGGGGCTCCGGCTCGACGTGCAGGAGAAGGAACGGGGTGGTTTTTAGTCAGTAAGAGTCTGACACTCTCTTCCGCCTCACCCAGGCGGGAGTAGTCATTCGATGATTTTCCCCCCTTAAAAAAAAAAAAGGCTAGGTACCTACTAGCTTTTCTTCTCTTTCGTTGTTCATTTTTTCTGTTTCGTATCATTAAATACATTAAATCTCAGGAATCAATCTCGTATTGCTTTATCGCTTACTCTTACAATTTCTAAATCAACTAAATTGAGTGATGGCCTCCATTTTGATATGTTTAAATTTATTAATATTATAACCAGATTATAATAAATTGAATAATACTAAAATTCCCGGATTTGAAAACATGTTTTTCACAAAATAATTTTATTATCAACAGGATACAACGACATTATTTTTGAACGCATCTCTTCCTTTGGCGCGAAATTTCTATGTGACACTTTTGACAGTTCTAAGTAACAGGTGTTTCTTTTGATCTCTTTTGGTCTGTGAACTTTTGTGATTTTGTGTAAGTTACAACGTGTTTTACCATCGAAAAAGATGATTTCTTGATATCAAATCATATGTTTACGTCTACGACGTGTCAAGATGTTTATAGAAGACATTAAAAACGACTTTTACAACGTCCTCCTTGGTAACGTGAGTATCGGCTGCATTGTTTACGAGTTTACAACCAAACTTTGTTCTTGAACCAGCGAGAAAACTTTGTTTATTTTTGTTTCAGAGGGTGTTATTACTAGTTCATTACGACGTAGACGCGATATGTACCTGTAAAATACTGCAGGGTTTGTTTAAAAGTGATAATATTTCGTATACATTGGTCCCTGTGGGGGGTATTGCGGAGTTGAAGCAAGCTTACGAAGAGAACAATGAGGAGATAAAGTATGTGGTGTTGGTGAACTGTGGAGGAACCATAGACTTGGTAGATATCCTGCAGCCTGAAGAAGAGGTTGTATTCTTTGTGCTAGATGCCCATAAACCTACTGATGTGTGCAATGTGTATAGTGATGGACAGGTGAGCTTTCGTACTTTTATATTCCTGTATTAATGTCTTTGATACTGCTTTAATCTGGTTTAGGCAGGTACATAGTTGAAACATTAGCACCTGTTTCCACCAGTTTTAACTCCCATTATAACAAGTAGCAAAGCTTTTGTAATACATCAAGCACAAATCCAGAGTTAGTAGCAGTTCTAAAAGCTTGGAAAAGGCCTAACATAGGGATCAAAGATAGTTTTGGTAGACTAAATAGATTTACTCGAAGAAGAAGAAGAAGAATCACTTGAAGACTAAGTAGATCATTTTATTTAATGAGAGGATTCTGAGATACCTAATTGAAGAAAAACTACAGTTTAGATGTGGACCAACATCTATCCTTTTGGGAATTATAAGTCACAGTGGTATGATGTGGTGCACTCAATCCCCAAAGCCGCTCTCTACTAACTACATTATAGACCTATTTCCAATGTTTAGAGACCACTTTGTATGGACTAATTTAACATACGATATTTCAACTGGCTAAGAACTGAGAATTTATTGTAATATTATTGTTGTTGTAGGTGAGACTAGTTTATAAGGATGATGAGGAGAACATTCCCAACTTTGATGACATCTTCAGAGATGATGAAGAGGAGGAGGTGAGTCCATTCTGCTATGCTGATTTATCCTTTCCTTTAAACTGGCCGTTTACCAGTTGTGTCTACTGTGCACAGACAGAATAAACCCCTACACAACTTCTTGGCACTTTACTTAAACAGTCAAAACTCTATCTCTCAAAAAAATATTACATTATTTATTCTATCATTTCATTATTAAATATTACATATTTATTTTATTTATTTATTTTTTTTATTTAACACTTCATGTATTACTGTATACAATGGCGGACTTAATGCCGAATGGCATTCTCTACCAGCCAACCATAGGGTGATGCAGAGAAGTGTTACAGTAGGTTTTAAAAGAAGTTTGCATCTGTTGAAAAAAATAAAAAGAACGAGGGTGATAAATGACGTACATATAAAGGTATCCTAGTACATAAACTACATACATAAATATGAAACATAAAAATATGTAAATAATTAAATATCTATATATATATATATCAGATATATCAGATATTCTTACAAAATGTTAGGAAAAGCAAAACTTTTTTCATAATTTACTCATTCCACCTAGATCTGAAATGATAATTTCAGATCTAGGTGGTTCCTGTGGTGGTGGTGGTGGTGGTTATGTATGTAAGTATGTTTGTTTTTTGTTGTTACACACTGTCTTATATGATCTATTTATTTCTCCTCTCGCAGGGCTGCAGGAAGAAATCCCATAAGGGATATGCAGTACCTATGTACCTCTGTTTTGTTATATATATATATATTTTTTTTTTTCTGTGTATTGTACATGAATAAATAAATGAATGAATGAATAATTTGTGGCTCACACTATGAGGTGTTCCATGCATGAATTAGCTCTCATTATGTTACTATTGAAAAATGTTATGTATTAGGATGAAGAGGCAGGGAGTGGTCGAGAGGGTCTGGAGGCAATGGTGGAGAAGAGACGCGAGCGGCGCGCTTGGGAGGAGAGGAGGAATACACTCATGTTCAACTACACACAGTTCTCTTACTACGGGAAACCGGTGAGTTTTGATTATTTATTGGAAATAAGCCCCATGATAGAGGACATATAGTAGCTAATAAACCAATGCATGATTAGGAATTGTTGTTGTTGTCTATTTTGTATGTGAGTTCACAAAGAATTGAATTCACTTGGAGTTTCCGTAAGAACAAAACCCTCATAATTAGTTGTAAAATAACTTTGTATCCGTGTTTAATTGTATACTGGTCGTGTCCCAGAGCGCGTGTGTAGCGGTGGAGCTGTCGTGGCGCGTGTCGCGCGTGTGGTGGGGCGCGCTGTGGGCGGGCGCCGTGGCGGCGGCGGCGGCCGCGGCCGGCGCGGGCGGCGGGGCGCGCGCGCCCGCGCAGGCACTGCTCGACCACCACCATCTGCACACCAAGGCGCCGCGGGAACATGACCAATATGTACGGGTCCACATGCCTACACTACTTACTGTCACAGAATAAATAAAAGGCCTTGCGGGTGCAGGCTTAAGCTTTCGTTTAGTAGCACCTGTCGTCCAAATAGGCCGGTTGAAAGTGACATGCATCAAGCTACCTTCTGTTGCCTATAATAAGATCTTGGAAATTAAAATATGATCCAGTTCTCCGTTATTTATTCTTCTAGAACTTTTACCATTTCATGTCACAGGAGAACTTATAAACCCAGTATAAAAATAGTATAACAATTTTTGAATCACAAAAAGAATAATTTCGCCCTAGAACAAACTCTTATTTAATAAAATCGCGTATCTATCTTTTAGAACACTGCAAGTTTAGAAAGGAAATGTCATTATCCAATCGCAGGGTGCCCGCGTGACCCTGGAGAAGGACGTGAACCTGCCCCTATACCGCGTGTGGTCGCTGGAGGCGGCCCTGCTGCACGCGCCGGGGCTGGCGCCCGCCCTCAGGCTGCACACGGTGGCCGGACACGCGCGCCTGCGGCAGCTACTGGCTGATACTGGGTGGGTATACTACTTGCAATGAGTACGCTAGCTCCATTGGTTGAGTACTTGTACTTGCAATCTGACAAGGGCCAAAGTGCAAATTCTGAGATTCTGTGTAAAAGCCTTTGTATTTGCTTCATAGCTATACCACAGAATTTTTGCTTCATAGAATCTAATACGATTTAGAGTAACGAAAAGTTCGGGGCACTTTTATTTCCCTGCCTCGACTGGCTCGTTGGCCGAGTGGTCGCAAGTGCGACTGCCTCAAGGTAAGGGGTCTCAAGTTCGGTTCCCGGGTCGGGCAAAGTATTACTGGTTTTTTAAATAAAATACTCAGTAGTAGCCGAGGTCTGTAATTGTGTCAGATATATGGCAATAGGCTAACAAATAGTGGAAAGTGGATATTAAAAAATTTAATAGTCTTAAGCTGTACAGTGGCATTAAGTGCTGTAATATGGACCTCTGTCTATCCCTCCGGGGCTAAAAGGCGTGATGTTATGTTCCTTTCTTAAACTTAATAAAACATATTATTAATTTTATTGGAATGTTCTAGAATCAAAAATTAAACATTTTTTACAAACTGTTAATAAAATCAACTGTTTTTATTGCAACTGCAAGGCGAGTTATCAATTATTATCACACCATCGTTTGCAAGCCTGGTTATCAAATATTGCAACGATAAAAAGTTACGATAAATGATTATAATGAACAGCTTCTAACATTATAAGCATCAATTCTGTTTTTACCCGACTGCCAAAGAAGGAGGGTAATGTTTTTCGAGTGTATGTAAGTATGTATGTATGTCTTTTCCTTTGTGACCACCTGTAGCCTAAACGGCTTGATGGATTTTGATGTATGAGGTATCGTTAGATTTGTCTTGATTACGGGAGTGTCATAGGATACATTTTATCCTAAAAGTCCCACGGGATAAAGACATAATAATATTTTTTCTAAATTTCCCTTTAAAAAAATATGTATGCGGTATCATTAGATTCATTTCAATCACGGGAGTAATTAATATAGGATACGATTTTTCTCAAAATTCCCACGGGAACATGTTAATTCTGCGTCAACGCAAAGCAACTCATGCGTTAGCAAGCAAAAAGATAGGGCGTGGCCTGGCATGCGGCGCGCGGCGCGGTGCGGAGGGGGATATGCTCGAGTATACAGCCCGATTGCGGGCACACGCATGAGGGCACACGTCGTTGACGATAGTCTTCTACATCTACAACATTTTCGTTAAATAAAAACAGCTAAAAAGTTATAAATAAAAAAATTATTATTAAAAAAACAAAATACCCGACCATAGTATAAAGAACAGAGTAGGTTATCTTCATACAAATGCTCCGCGCGCGGCTTATATGTGTGCGCCATAGTATCTATGCGTCGACGCACGCACACTTTAACAAAATCTCGACCCGTTTCTCAGTGCGCCAGGCAGGGCTAACACTGCACGAGGTTCGCGCGCGCATCACTTTTCGGCACTGTTAAATGAAATAAAAAATGTCTGATAACCGTAGAAGAACGTATTGCTGTGTGTTTGGGTGTCTTAATAATTAATCGATTCCAGAACTGTCTCTGTTCAGATTACCTATTGAACAGGAAAGGTAAGCTAGTCACTTTTTCTAGCATAATATAATTTGTAGGTACTTGATGATGAGATACCTACTTACTTATTCTGACTCTTATCATTCTTCATAGTTCCTACTCAACCAGAAATGTAATTACCTACTATACTTAAATATTATAAGAAAATGTGGTATTGTATTGTTTATTTCACAGTTTATCTGATTTTTTAAGAGCGTGGCCGTGTCGCATTTTTCCATATAAATGTATTCCAAAATTTACCTACTTTCTGAATACTATGTATAGAGCTAAAGTTTATTTTAAGAAGTTAATAATCTTTTTATAAGCTTTTTATTTTTACTAAATTTATAAATTGATAAAATATTCAATCATAATATGCTTTTCATTTCATAAATTTAGATCAAGTGCTGCTTGTTCGAAAATATTAACTAAAAGTAAAAGTGACAACCCTGGGGATCAACGCAAGAGTAGGCTAATAACTCGGCGGGCGGCCTTAGATAACCTACTGTGTTCTTTATACTATGACCCGACTGCACACTAAAAAAAGAGTAAAACAAGCCCCACAATAATATTGATCAATCAAATGCTAAAAACTAATTATGTAATACCGTTTAAACAATACCTATATTAAAATACACTACAATATGTGTTCGTAATCGATAGTTAAATAAACAGAAACTTATTTTGAATACAAATTTACTGAATATAATTTATAAATGTTGATGGAAAGCATCGCAGGCGGGGACCACCTTGACCGCCACCAACGAAAATTCTGCTAAATGGTGCACAACCGAAATGACTATAAATAAGCCTCTGTTGGTCCCCGCCTGCGATGCTTTCCATCAACATTTATAAATTATATTCAGTAAATTTGTATTCAAAATAAGTTTCTGTTTATTTAACTATCGATTACGAACACATATTGTAGTGTATTTTAATATAGGTATTGTTTAAACGGTATTACATAATTAGTTTTTAGCATTTGATTGATCAATATTATTGTGGGGCTTGTTTTACTCTTTTTTTAGTGTGCAGTCGGGTATTTTGTTTTTTTAATAATAATTTTTTTATACCGTGTTTGTTTTTGAAAAACATATTTATAACTTTATTATTTAAAGATAACTTCGACCTGATTAGAATGTATAAAAAAATCTTAATAATCTTAATTATTATCAAACCAGAACTATCTAATGTAGGGGTCATTGCTCTTCCTGTTTTGTTTAATTAAACGATTACAGCGAACTGTAATAACGTCACGTACAAATTATAATTGAAGATCTTTCACCTCTTCTTTTGTTTATTTCTACATACTCACGTATTTAATGAAAAATATAAATAAAACAATGACTTGACTTTTTTTATATTATAATATAACTGATTGATAAGCCTAAACGGAACTGCTAACTGATAAACGCTTCATCAATCTTTTCATACATGCTCGTTGGTTAAGGGTGCTTTTAATTTGGCCCTTTTTTAATATATCGGCAATCTGGTCAGTATATGTGTCCGTCTAGGGCGCCCTGTACCGAGGGCCTCATTCATATCCGCTCTGTATACTTTTTCCGTTACTCTTCTTTCATCCACATAATATAACATAACATCACGCCTTTTATCCTCGAAGGGGTAGGTAGAGGAGCACATTATACCACTGTACAATGTAACACCCACTTTTCACTATTTATGTTGTGAGTCCCATGTAATAGGGGGTGAGCCTATTGCCATATACCGGGCACAGTTCCAGACTCCGTGCTACTACTGAGAATTTTTTTAAAACCCATTAATATGTTGCCCGACCCGGTTATCGAACCCGAGACCCCTTACCTGGCAGTCGCAATTGCGACCACTCGGCCAACGAGGCATCTTTCATCCATCCTTTCTTTATTTCTAAACCAGCGTAACATTCACTGTGACTAATTTATCTATAATACTTATTTCCAGCATTCCCCTCCAGCAAGCTCGTCAAGCCTACCGGTCAATGGACGTGGAACTCCGGCGCTCCCTGCTGACATCACTAGAGACTGCGGCGCCCAAACACAAGCTGCCCGTACCCAGCCACACTACCTTCCTACTGCAGCGGGTACACTCGCCTACTATAGCTGCCATCGACATCGTCTACGCTATAATGGGACTTATTGAACATGTAATGTATACTTTAATTAAAGTTTCATTTATAATAACTATCGTGAGACATACTAAATTAAATAAAATCGCGAGTTACTCACGTGTATATACTGAGAAATGCTCTACTAGTTTCGAACCACAGAGGGGTTCTTCCTCATGAGCAGCGTGTGTGGTCGCGGCGTCGTCGTGTGTGAGTTTATCAGAGATTATTTGCCTGTTCGAAACTTTACCTTACTTTCTATGACGACTTGTAACCATTTTCCAATAACTTATCTCACCAAATTACAAAATTCTCTTTCAGGAGACGATACCAAAAGCGGAAGGTTTCCAGTTAGCTCTAGAATGTCTAGCGACAGAGACGGGAGACAACGAAAGCCGGAGACTGGGCTGGCAGGCCGCGCAGCGCGCGCTCGAGGCCGTCGCCAGGCTCGTACACTCCACGCTCAGCGGACGGAAACTGCATCTCGCCGGACCATTCAGCTACTTCATTGTGCAGGAGGTTTGTTGTTTTGTGCTGTATAGTATAATGTTACGAAGATCTTTATATACTACAGGGGAATTATTATAAAAATCTTAGAATATGTTTACCTTAATTGCGAATTGAAGTTCGATTTCGATTCTCGCACGATATAATTCTTTGTGTAACCCCACAATTTTTAAATTTGGATTCATCGTGTGACATGACTGCCGCGCAACTTGTCGCGGGTTCGATTCTCGCACGGAACAATTCTTCAGATTGTTGTGCTGAGTCTGGGTGTCATGTGTATGTGAATTTATGTACCTATTCGTAACTGCATCCATGCACGACATGGGAGAAAATTTTAGAGTCGGGCAAGGATTTGACGTGAAATGCCTTTAAAATCGTGTCGAAACACTCAGGTACCGGGTACCAGATTTAACAAGTGGACCATAATGAAAAGGTCTATATCGTCGTATCTTAATAATTAAAGAAAACTATTAGTCTTAGAAACAAACATGCGATGTGAACGCTAACATAGACGTTTCACGGTTAATCCAACGGCCGTGTGCCCCGGCATAGCTCTACACGATTTATTTTTTTAAATTAAGAAAAGATCAATTTTTGTTTTGGTACAGGGTTAAGTTTAATAAAAAATGTTTGCTTTTATAGCTTGATTATGTTACATCTACTGCTGAGCACTCCCTTTAGAGGGCAGTTGCCGTTACTTGAATTCTCTACTAACCCCCCCCCCCCCTTAGGGCACCCCGGAGGCGCGCGTGGTGCGCGGGGCGTGGTGGCTGTGCGTGGCGGCGCGCTGGGTGTCGCTGTGCGGGGCGGGCGCGCGCGCCGTGCTGGCCTCCGCGCCCAGCGGCCCGCACTCCTGCATCCTGCTCGGGGTGCCGCCGCGACACCTGCACGAACCCAGGAAGTATGTACTACTTCTACTCCATGCCACACTGATACCAGGCAAAACTTTTCTATTTACACTGCCAGCAAAGATGTGGAGTGCCATGATAGCTAGGAAATGCGAGATGATAGTAGCAGAAGGATAGCACATTTTATTTGCTGACTACACACTTTATTTGTTTACTATCTACCTCTGTGTGATTTCACCCACTCTGCTTAACTCTTATTGGAGATGTTTTATAAACTACAAAAGCTTTATAAGAGCTTTTAGAAGGATATATTTATACATAGAACCCTTCTTCGATAAATGCACTATACAACACTAAAATAATTATTCAAATCAAACCACTAATTCTGGAGATTAGTGTGTTTAAACAAACAAACTCTTCAGCTTTATAAAATACTAGCTTTTACCCGCGGCTTCGCTCGCGTCACAAAAAGATAAGACGTAGCCCATGTGACTACCCATCCCTTCACCTACCTTCAGTTGAAAAATCACGTTAAGTACCTTCGTTTTGCCGTTTAAGACAGGCAAACAAACAAACAGCTGTTCGCTTGCGTGGAATTCGGTTATAACGCGCGTTTTAGATTTTTCCATGGGAATGAGAAATTCTGCCGCCGTAAAGCCTTGCTTTTCCAGGACTCAAACTACTTTTATACCAATTTTTTTCAAAATCGATTCAGCCGCGTGAAAGAACAGAAGTTATTTTCGCATTACCACAAATACCTCCTCGCATTTTAACTCGTCGAGTACCGGTTTTATAGACACAATTAAAGAACAATAGGTCGCGGTCACCGGTGACCGCTTGGTGTTTGACAGTTTAATTTAAAAGACTTCTATTTCCTATAAGGGTTATATTTGCAACGCTAAAACCAAAACTGAGTGGTAAACTATATTATACGTTTTATTATCGAAAACCTAACTACTTTAGACATCTACTTAGAAATAAACCACTTCACTAATCTAACCTAACTAATATAGATACTGTATCAACCAACGTAAACAATGAACAAAGCGTCTTAGAACGACGAAAAAAATTACTATAGTACTTTAAATACTAATATCTACCTAGAAATAATAACACTTGACTAATCAAACCTACATAGCGAACAAATAATAATAATAATCAATATAAGCGCTAGATGAGTAAACTAAAATATAGCTGATACGGAAGCTCGGAACCTATACTTTCGCCGGTAACGAAACCATAGCGCCATCTAACTCGATCCTAACGCCATCTATCGAGCGTTGAAACAACAGCGTACAATATATGTATTTGCTAATTGTTGAGTATTGTTGCCACTATGGTTTCGTGTACCTTTATCAACCTAAAATCTATAAAATACGCAAATTAATGTAAAATGGTTGGAACCAAAATTTAAAAGCGAAGAATACTTAAAAAACACATCGCTATTCCACATAGACACCAATTTCGTGTACCTTTAACAACCTAAAATCTATAAAATACCCAATTCAATGTAAAATGGTAGGAATCAAAAATTAAAAGCGATAAAAATACTTAAAAAACACAACGTTACCCCGTTTTACAAACACTCAGCGCACTCTATCGCCAAGTAGCGTAACTACTACATTAGTAGAGTCACTAATTTTGTGTACCTTTAACAACCTAAAATCTATAAAATACGCAATTTAATGTAAAATGGTTAGAACCAAAATTTAAAAGCGAAAAATACTTAAAAAATAGCGTAACTACTACATAGACACCAATTTCATGTACCTTTAACAACCTAAAATCTATAAAATACACAATTCAATGTAAAATGGTAGGAACCAAAATTTAAAAGCGATAAAAGTACTTTAAAAGCACAACGCTACCCCGTTTTATAAACACTCAGCGCCATCTATCGCCAAGTAGTGTAACTACTACACAACGTTACCACGTTGTGTTTTTTAAGTATTTTTACATATAAAATAGCAAATAAATGAGTCGAAAAGCGCACTGAATAAGTGTAGATTAACACCAAATAAGCGCTATAGATTAAAGCGTGAAATTTCCAATTAGTAGGTAATTCGTTGAATTGTTTTAGATGGCACAAAGCGCCATCTACAGGAATACACACAGCGCCATCTATACTAATATTTTTGTTTTCCCTCGGGAATATCACATTTTTCCGGGATAAAAAGTACCCTATTATTTAATCTGGACTTCTAACTTTACGTCTGCAAAATTTCAAAGCAATCGGTGTAGTAGTTACGGCGTGAAGGTGGAACAAACAAACAAACAAACAAACTCACTTTCAGATTTATAATATTAGTAAGGATAATAGTATAAGATATCAGTAGTACCAAATAGGACATTAAAACAAAAGTTAAAATGTTAATATTATTTAATTGAAATTTTTACACATATTCAACACTTGTAACCAAATAAAAAAAAAATTAAAACTTATTTGTTATCAACACTTTCTTTTGCAGTCTATTCGGCGCAGCGTTCGAGCAAGCTGCGACCAAGTGCGGCGCGTCCGTGTCGTTGGACCACGTCGACACTTCCATCATCACACTCCCACTCGCGCAGAGGGCGCAGTTTCTGGACGCCCTCACTGCCTTACTGGCGTAATGTTACATAATATAAAGTAGTCCAAACTGGTCATAAGGTAGGAAAATAATTATATAAGGAAATAATAACATTTATAATGATGGCTTTTATGATAGATCCTATCCCAGTTTAATAAAAGTTTTCGACTATATTTGAAATTCTCTGTGCCTAAGGCTATAGACAGACGGACCACATTTCAGCAGCAAATTGTAGTTCAAATGCAATTTGAACGCAGTTGACACGCCTGCAATTTAACTGCAAACCAAACGTGTAGTCTATTGCAGTTCAATTGCAGAACCAAACGGTTGCAATCCAAACAAGCAGTCCGATTGTAGTCGTCTCAATTGCGTTCAAACTACATACGAACTGTAATTTATAGTTTGACTAGCTTTTACCCGCAGCTTCGCTCGCGTCACAAAAGGATAAAAAGTAGCCTATGTAACATATACCAATACACACAGCGTCATCTATACCAATACTTTTGTTTTCCCTCGGGAATATCAAATTTATCCGGGTGAAAAAGTACTCTATTATTTAATCCACATTTCTAACTTTACGTCTGCAAAAATTCAAAGCAATCGGTTCAGTAGTTACGGCATGAAAGCGGAACAAACAAACAAACTCACTTTCCGATTTATAATATTAGTAAGGAAGTAAGGATTGCAGTTGAAATACGGTTCGTCTGTTTAGAGCGTATCTCTGTAGTTCCAGTACCTATCATATATATGAGTATGGTGCCTTGAATTGTGCCTTGTATGACAATAGGTTCGCCCCTACTATATGGGACTCATCGCCAACCAAATAATTGTATTAAATATTCGTATTTCTTCCCAAACAACAAGTTAATAATGTTTTATATTGTAACCAACTTATATATGTTATTTTTTCTTTTTGAAGCATAGCAGGTTCTGTGCTAAATGCGTGTTCATAAATAACGAGAACTACAATACACACAAGAACTAAAACAAAAATACATGCTGTAGATCAACCTACGCCTGTAATTTAAACTTCCAATTTTATTTTATTTAGTAATAAAGTCGAAAGTACATTGAAGAAATAACAGATCGGTCTAAACATTGTAAATATAGTTTATATATACCAGCATGTTTAATAACTAAGTATTGATTTATATATTTGACTTTCTTGATATCCGGATATTTGTTACAGAATATAATCAAATGAATTCAGATTTGAGTAAGCTTTCGATTATGCAATCTAATTATAATGTATAATACGTTTTAATAAGGGTTGCCCTTCTTCTTACTCACCAAATGGCGCTAAAGCAGTTTTTTTTACAGCCACAGTGATTGGAGAAACGGGACCTCACGATGCTTTAGCGATTCGACAAACAGGGCCTTAGGTTGCTTAGCGCCATCTGCTGAGCAAAATCTGTAGCCCTAATTCAATTAAATTTTTGATTAATTTGATTCCATAATTACAATCTGCCATAAATGCCATAATTAATGAAATAATAATGATAAATCGCTGAAGGTATTTGAATTATTATCAAAATCCTTGTTTTATGATTTTATTAACAATATTGAATCAGTTTTCAATTATAAATAATTTTCATATTATTATAATAATTATTTGAGTGTGGTTTTGCTTTTGTAGGAGTGAAAGATTGGTAGTTTTATTTATTCTGTAATTTTAAGCAGTCAAATTCTGTATTTTTGTTTGTAAATGTTTTGTCTATAATATATATAAAAATACTTAACAGTGTATTCATATATAAAAGAAATCAAAACATATCAAAGGAAATTCGTTTATTTTCAGTGTTTTTTTTTTTGTTTACACATTTCCTTGTTTGTAAGCAAAATTTGTATAAACAACAACTACCGTAAAATGGGGTGTGGATAGGGATCGAGAGGTGAATACAGACAAAAGAGGTCTTCTGTCCCTATTCACATCTCGATCCCTATTCACCCAATTGTACCGTATATTTAGTTGCAGTGGTATTAACTATATGGCTAAGGACTCACGGCGCGATTTTATCCCGCGCCCGCTGAGGTTGTGGGCCAGCCTTTGTAGAATATAGATATATATGTAACAAATCAAAGCAACTTTCACGGCACGTTTTATGCCCGCGGCGGTTGCAAATGTTTGCAGCTCCCGCTGTGGCCGCGGCGGCTAGCACCCGCGCGCTCTGCGATCGGATGGCGAGTGATCGCAATGGGAGGCCGGTCTGCAACTCAACTAATTGTTTATCCGCCGGGCCCGTCTTGCGATAATCAACCACTAAGTATGCGGGTGATCATCTCAACCGCGGTGCTTGCGGATCCCAGAAAACTGCGATGTTGTGAGTTTTGAATATTCCGCCTCTATTCCGCCACCAAGGCTGGCGCGGGAGGTCGCTCCATGTCCTTAGCCCATGAAGTTTTATAGAGCTGATGTTTTTGTTACCGAAAAAATAAAACTACTATTCTTTACAAAAGTATGTGTAAACAAATGACTGTATTTGTAATGGGTAAGATCTTAGTTTCTAGTATTTATTTAGTAATAGTTGCATTTATGAAATAAAACTAATTGATAAATTGAAAAATATATTTTTATTTTCATCATTCCTATAAAAAATACAAGCGTGTTATGTGTAAATTAATAGTATCAATTATTTTAAATCAGTTATTGCTATGTAAAGTCTAGAATTAAAGCCTAGAAATAAGTGTTTAAAGCCAAGCTTGGCGCATAATAAAATATAATAAATAATAATTATATTATGTAACATTCGTTCTAAATCTGTTCTATGAACAATCTATACTAGATTCAAACAAAAAGTGATAGAAGTAGTTTCTGCATCACTTTGCTCAGGTATTTTGGACCATATATGTTGACTGTAAAACCGGCCGAGTATATTTTTTACATTTTAAATGTGTCTAGTTTCAGCGTAGGTGAAACTCACAAGTCTATCTGTAATCATTTTTGATAAATTTTTGAATCAAATCCAGTGACCATTTTGGCTGATCCTTCGGTACCATGTGACCAGCATTCCTCACTAACGCCTCGGTAAGGTTCCCGCCGGTCTTTATATACCCAGCTATGTTTTTGCCAACTTTCCAAATAATTCTTGTGGCTCTTTTATATTCGTCGGAAGCGGAGAAGTTTAAATTGTTTATAAAGTTGACTGTGAGCGGGTATGCCACGATAATGTCCAGCTGTCCGTTGTAGAAGAGCATGCGGTAATGTGACAGTAGCTCGGAGATCGCCGGCGCGACCGACTGCATCATATCCAACGACAGCATCAGCTGAACTGTCTCCCCGTCCTGGAACGACCTCCCCCCCACATGTATACTCCGTCGCACATCATTCTTATTTAACAACTTCATAAATGGCGTCTTTTCGTCTATCGATGTCGACTGCAGAAAATTATAATAGTAATTATACCCTGTGTAGAATTTAAAGAGCGCAAAATGTGTCACTTCCCCGTCCATCAGTCGGTCCATCAATATATTCGCTTGCGTCCACGCTTCACTCTTTATTGCTGAGTAAATTTCTTTTTGACTTTTCTCAAATACTCCCAACTGGTAATTATCCAACAATCCATGTTGATACAGGAAATTACCATAATCCAACTGGTTTAAGGGATCGGAGTAAGCATTCCCCAGCGCCATACCTTTTAAATTAATTTTAATTTTTGATTTAGCATTTTCTTTGTGGATCATCATTCCTAAAGACGGTATGTACTTCCCCGCGTAAGATTCTCCGGTTATGTAAAAATCGTTGTGTGCTAAATGTGGAAATAATTGAAAAAATTGTCTCAAACCGCAGTACAGGGCCTTGGCGATGCAACCCTGGTTGGTGCAGTAACCTTTAGTATTTTGTGTGAAGCTGAATCCAGTTCCGACTGGGCTGTCAATGAATATTAAGTGGTAGTGCAGAGCCCAGTGATACTTTCTTAGAACAATTTTCCCTCTAAAGGCCATTAGGGGTCCTATTTCTACGAAGAGTCCGTATAGAGAGCTACTTCCCGGTCCCCCTTGAAGCCACAAAAGCACTGGTGCCGTTTGGTTCCTAGAAAAAGGATGAAAATACCAAAAATATAAATTGGAGTTGTATTTTTTGTCAACTGTAAAGAACCCGGCATGACTCGCAACTTCTGGTACATCTGGTAAATGCACGCGGGTGAGATTCTGCGCTGCACATATTAGGCCCTTTTTGAGATAAGGGGTCACAAATACTGGGTGTCCTGCTTCTTTGCTTGACTTCGATGGCAGTTTCAGCCTCGGATAAATTGGGAAGAATATACTGTTTACCAAAGATAACAAGCTCAGTGCTGTGATCAAAAGTAACATAACATAGGATTCAATGCTGTAGTACAGCTGAGACACTCGTCAAGTGAATTATTTATTCTGTAAAAAATCATCGATCTCTGAAATCTTTCGTATGTTGTAAATATATCGCGTAACATGCTGCAAGGTTTCGAGCAAACTTTTCGCAAATGCATGACGTATGTCATTAAAAGCTAAAATCCAAAAAGACGAGCTTACAGAGTAAACTGTATCAGCAAAAAGGTTTTAAACCTTGTCGATATTTTCTTCAACATGTCGGTGTGATTAAATAAATATAATATCCCTTAACTAAATAGTTGTTCAAGCTTTTATAAGCCATTTAAAAATCTTCAGGCAATTTATGAACTGATTATTTCTTATCTACAATTATTATCTCCATAATTTAATTTTATTGCCTTCAACCATAAGACTAGTTAAATGCTTAGTATTTGTCTTCAAAACAAATTACAGTTAAAATAAAAAGTTTTAGGAAGCAAAATCATTTTTAATGAATCTTGTGATGAGGCTCAGAGCCCATTTAGGTTGGTCCCGTGGTACCATATGCCCAGCATTCCTGACCAAGACTTCAGTCAGATTACCAGCTGTCTTTATATATCCAGCTATATCATCACCCACTTTCCAAATCGATCTCTTCGCATTTTTATATTCTGCAGCTGAAGAAAACTGTAGTTTTTGCAAAAAGTTTTCTGTGAGTGGGTAAGCAACAACTATATCCAGTTGCCCATTATAGAACATTATTCTATAATGCGATAGAAGCTCAGATATCGCTGGAGCTACAGATTTAAGCAGATCAAGTACTAAATTTAATTGCACTTTTAATCCATCATTGAAGGGTAATCCTCCAACATGTACACCACGGCGGACTTTGTCATTCTGCAATAAGCTGATAAATACTGACATGTCATCAGCTGTAGCAGCCTGTAAATAGTTGTAATAGTAATCAAAGCCAGTGTAGTACTTGAAATATGAGAAGTTCGTCATATCTCCATCCATTAGTCTGTCCATGAGAACATCGGCTTGTTCCCAATTTTCTTGTTTTATTTGACTAGCAATCTCTCCTTGGTATTTTAAAAACAATTTTGATTCATTTTCGTCTATTAATCCTAATTGATATAGGTAGTGGCCATAATCTAGTTGATTAATTGGGTCACAATATGCGTTACCCATTGCAATACCTTTTAGATTTACTTTTTCTTTACTCTTGGCATTTTCACGATGTATTTTTAATCCAAATGATGGCAGGTACTTCCCTGCATAAGATTCTCCAGCTAAGTATAATTCATTTTGCTTTAAATTAGGAAACAATTGGTAGAACTGCTTCAGAGTGGAGTAAAGTCCTTCTGCTACACAATCCTCATTAGTACAATATGCACTCTCATTATCTGTGAAACTGAACCCAGTACCCACAGGGTTATCAATGAATATTAAGTGATAATTCAGAGCCCAGTGATATTTTCTTAAAGCGAAACCTTCCTTTTTCGCTATTAGTGGTCCCAACTCCTGAAATAGTCCGAAAAGAGAACTTCCTCCAGGTCCCCCTTGTAGCCAGATTATAATTGGAGCTTCTTCCTTCTTAGAAAACGGAGAGAAGTACCAGAAATACAAATTGGCGTTGTATATCTCGTCTATTGTAAAGAAGCCGGCGTGGCTTCGAAACCCTATCGTATCTGTAATGGACACTCGGGAAAGGTTTTGCGCGAGTAATATGGAGCCTGTCTTCAGATAAGGAGTGATAAACAGAGGTTCACCAGCGTCTTTCGTTGATCTAGCGTCCAGTTTTAGTCTTGGATACAAATTTGGAAAGAATCTAGCGTTGACCACTGAGAATGCACATAACGCTGCGAGGAAAATAGTACACAGTCTCCAAAAGCCATTTGTATCGCACATTATTTTCTTCATACTGATATTAACTTTTTAGATCATGTTATTGTTCTAATGAAGTAATAAAATAAAACACCGATCACTTTATGTTAAAACTTTTGTTTGTTTTCATTTATTTGTGTTCATTGGTGTTCGGTTCGAAGCAAGTTCGGGGAGACAGTCAATGACCTTTTGACAAAGTTGAACTTGAAAGTTCAAAACAAAGTTCTTTCAAAAACGTAACTGTGAAACAAAATGATAAAATGAATTAATAATAATGATATTTAGTCTATTTTAGGTAATACAACGTAGCATTTAAGAAATATGGAAGTTTCAGTATTGTGCGTTATACTGTATCATTGTAGTTATATGAAAGAAACTATTTTCATCCATTTCATTGTTTCTAAATAGGTTACGATGTCTGCGTATAGAGAATCACGGTTCACAGATTAAATAGACTGCAAACTTTTAAATGAGTTTCATATTTAAGACTTGAGAATGTGTGTGTCGTCAACAACACACACACATGTACAAGTACAGAATAAATCTCGTTCGTGTTGAGTTGTTTGCGTTGCGTTGTCGCCTGTCGGTACATTGAAAAAAAGTGTGGTTTTAGATAAGCCGGCTAAAAACAACATTATTATTACCGACCAACTAGTATGATAAAAAGGTGAAGCTCACTAATTAGGTCAGTATTCGGGTCGAGATGGCGCGAGCACTGTGGGCTCTGTTCATTTTTCAAGTATTTATTCATGCCGAGGGCTTCTTCCACCGGTATCCGAAATTGAACCTCGGCGAGCGCGATGGAGGTGATGCAGGCAGGCCTCTGTTCCTCACCCCGTACGTCGAGAGCGGGAAAATTGAAGAAGGGAGACGTCTGGCTCGCGTGCCCTTCACGGAGAGTCTTCGTATCAAGAGTTACTCCGGATATTTCACCGTGAACAAGCAATACAATTCCAACCAATTTTTCTGGTACTTCCCTGCGATGGTACCCAATAATACGAACGCCCCCGTTATAGTGTGGCTGCAGGGAGGCCCTGGTGCTACATCTTTGTACGGTCTGTTCACGGAGAATGGACCTATCAGAGTACGTCGCAATAAATTCGAGAGAAGGAAGTATAACTGGGCTGTGAGTCACCATATAATCTACATCGACAACCCTGTGGGTACAGGGTTTAGCTTCACAAATGACAGCCGAGGGTACTGCACGGATGAGACACAGGTTGGTGAGCAGTTGTACTCCACACTCATACAGTTCTTCCAGCTGTTCCCTGAACTGCAGCAGAACAAATTCTTTGTGACTGGTGAGTCTTATGGAGGGAAGTATGTTCCTGCCCTCGCATACACTATTCATAAAAAGAATCCAACAGCCAAGCTGAAGATAAACATGAAGGGAATTGCTATTGGTAATGGTCTGAGTGATCCAGAACATCAACTGGTGTATGGAAAATATTTGTACCAAATAGGCCTTATTGACTCAAATGGAGCAAAACTATTTGAGGAATATGAAAATAAAACTAAAAACTTCATCAGACAAGGAAAATGGGACGATGCGTTCGCCACATTTGATACTCTGTTGAATGGTGACATGATTGATGGTAAGAGCATATTCACAAACCTGACCGGCTTCAATTTCTATTTTAACTTCTTGCATACAAAGGACTACACTCAGTTTGAAGATTTTGGGCCCATGTTGCAAAAGTCTGCAGTTAGAAAAATGATCCATGTTGGAGACTTGCCTTTCCACAATGGCACTGAAGTTGAAAAACATCTGAAGCAGGATGTTATGAAGTCAGTAGCGCCATGGATATCAGAGCTGTTAGACCATTACTATGTGGTCGTTTACAATGGTCAGCTAGACATCATTGTGGCTTATCCTTTGACAGAGAACTACCTTAAAAACTTAAACTTCACTGGAGCTGAAGATTATAAGACTGCTAAAAGGTATGTTTGGAAGGTGGATGGAGAAGTTGCTGGCTATGTGAAGCAAGCTGGTAAACTGGTGGAGATTCTGGTGAGGAATGCAGGACATATGGTGCCCGGAGACCAGCCCAAATGGGCACTAGATCTGATCACTCATTTTACTCATGAGAAAATGTTTTATAATCCTAAAAAGGCTGTGCACTTAGGAATAAATTGATGAATAAGGTATATTATGGGTATCCATGATGCATGGGAACCTAAAGTACGTAATGTGCAAAGGAATGTAAAAATAAAAAGTAAACATATCCACCATGATTGAATTAGTTCTCACAAGTAATTCAATCTGTACTTGCTCAAGTTACATGCATCATGTTTTAGTATAGACTTTATCAGTTTTGTTACTATGGTGAGAGATTTTTATATGTTATGTAGAACTAAGGTACCAGTTAAGCATATTGTATTAATTTTATGTACTTCATTAGTAAACTTATTACTTTATTTTGTCATTGAATATGTTAAAATTGGCCTGTTATCATAAAAAGAAACTGTATACATATTTAAAGTAGGTTTTCGCAGGTACTTATTTGCATATGTGTAAACAATGATTCATATTATTATTAACAATGGTTATTACTGAACACGATTTACTAGGAAAACTACAATAATGTTACATGTTTTTGTATAATTTAAATAACATCACGACAATGTGTAAAATAAAGGATATGTAGAGAATGGAACTGTTGGAATTGTAACATTATTGTAACTTTGACAACATCTTCATGAAAACATGTAAGTTGTTGAATGGAGTATTTTGTTTCAGTTATCTTTTACATAATATAATTACGTATAGTGCACCTAGATTTCCCGAAAGAACTCGAATGTTATTGCAGTTTTTAAAACTAATATAATACTCAGGTGCTATTAAGTTTGTTACCATGTTTTTTAAAAAGAATAAATATTTTGTAATAAGAAGCAGTTTGTATAATTTATTTTGTTAGGATGACTCTGTAAGGTCGTGACCTTGATTGACCATGGTCATTTTGGCTGTTAGGTAGGTATTTACCTAACAATAATATTTTGATAGAATAAAATAGGTATTTTTTTTTCTTTTAAAAACTTTGCCCCGCACTAGGATTTTCTCCTGTTTCGTGGGTGCGTTTACAAACAAGTCAAGTTTACATACACATGACACCCAGGCCCAAAATAACAATCTGTGGATTACACAAAGTATTGTTCCGTGCGGCAATCGAACCCGCTACACGTTGCGCGGCAGCCGGTTGCCCAGCCACCGCGCCGGGCGTGCAGTCGAACTTATACTTTTCTTAGCTATTGCGTGTCCTGCGACTCCGGAAACTTAGCCAGGTTTAACATAAAGGGAGGTTTTTCGACTTACTTATGCCTTTTTGGGCATTCCTGTCAAGGATTAGATCTAGGTGCCTAATCTATAAATACGGTCATAAGATCGAAATGCGCTTATCTCTCGTTGGTGGCACAAGCACTGCCAATCAGAACTACTTAACCTTTTGTTCGGGTTCATAGGTGTTTTTTTTAAGGGGGGAAAATCATCGAATAACTACTCCCGCCTGGTTGAGGCGGGAGGGAGTGTCAGACTCTTACTGACTAAAAACCACCCCGTTCCTTCTCCTGCACGTCGAGCCGAAGCCCCGGTAACCCGTTAGGTTCTCCGCGACTCATAGAGGTGAGCCTAGTGCTGCCTTTAGTTTAGGCCCACTTTAGCTTAGGTCACTAACCCTATGCATTAGCAAAAATATGTCTTCACTGGGCGTGTGGGCACCTAGGGGGGGTTAGAAAATTCGGTTACTTTTTAGCCTTTACCTTTTTTAAATTACCTTTAGTTTTTGAAATAGATTTGAATATTAAGGATATATCCTTGGACTGTGCTACTACACCTACACCTATGGTATCAGTCAGTACCTACAGGCTACCGGCAGGTATAGCAAATTCTTGTTAAAAATGCAATAAATCAGATATAATAAAGTTAATATTTCTGTGCAATAAACATTTGAATTTCATTCTATTTATTTACAATGTCGTAAAATTAAACGTTGACATATTTAGACTAATATTTTTTGATAAGTGAAGCATTATAATAATGCAATGATAAAATACACAGGTACAAAAAATAACTAACTCGATAACAACAGTTAAAATCGAATTTCATTGAAATAGGTAGGTACTTCATTTTGTACGAATTCTAGTGGAAATACAAGAAAAACCTCGGGTTCGATTACCGGGTCGGCAAAGTTGCGTTTGGTGTATTCTGAGATTTCATGACCAATGAAATGAATTAATTTATCAGAATTCACTACTACTTTATATTGTGCAAAGAGGCTTGCCATTGAAAGATGTATGGATACATGGTAATTTTTTTATACCATGACATAGGCAAAAGTAGCATACGGCACACCTGTTGGTAAGTGGTTACCATGGACTATGAATACAATGATGAATTTGAGAGTAAGAAAAAATAAAAGCCAATTTATCACAATATCAAATGTTATTTTAATTAATCTTTAACCTAGAGTTACTTTATCGTCTGGATATGAGCTGTGTTTCAAGAAACCACACAAAACACTTCACTCCAGAAAAGTGAACATTACTTATTAAAATAAACTGAAACACACTTGTGTTGACAAAACATTACTTTCCAAATGCCCTTTACCATGTCAAAAAAAAAATTGTAAATGATAATAATATTATATCTTGTAAATCAAACTTTTCTGCACTATTATGTCAATATGGAACAGGTTACAGGGCATTCAGAAAGTTAACACTGGTTACAAAGGGAATGGAAGATTCATCTATCGGCCTTCTATGTAAGTTGATAGCTCAATCTCTTCTGGCAACTCCGTGATGTTGACATCGAAGCGATCTTGAACTTCATTGAGGATCTTGGCATCATTCTCATCTGATACCATTGTAATAGCTAACCCTTTGGTACCAAATCGGCCAGCACGAGCCACACGATGAAGGTAGGTGTCAGAGTCTTCAGGCATGTCGTAGTTGAACACAATATTCACTCTCTCAATATCCATCCCTCTTCCAAACAAGTTGGTGGCTACTAGGATTCTCTTCTGGAACTCCTTGAACTGTTGATAACGTGACAGACGCTCGTCTTGAGTCATGTTCCTGTGTATACCAATAGCAGGGAAGTTCTGGTCTGTCAGCAGTTGTGCTAGAGCTATGCAGCGCTGCACAGACTTGACGAATATTACTACTTGGTTGAACTCCAACACATCCAGCAACTCAAATAGCTTCTTGTTCTTCTCATTCTCCTTGAGCTTCACATAATGTTGTTGCAAACCGTGCAATGTTAGCTTGGCTTCATCATCCACATACACTTCCATAGGGTCCTGCATGAACTTCTTGCAAACTGGCCTGATTTCTTTGCTCAATGTGGCGGAGAACATCATCACTTGCTTACCGTGGGGAGTGTTTCTGAATATCTCCTGAACGTCACGTCTCATGTCTAAAGATTCTAGCATCTTGTCACATTCATCAAGTATGAAGTGCTTCAAATGTTTCAAATTCAGTTTCTTACTGTTCACTAAAGCCAGAATTCTGCCGGGTGTCCCAACGACGATATGAGGGCATGCAGTTTTGAGAACCTCCTCATCTTTTTGAACGGGCATTCCACCGAAAAACACCGACACTCTGACGCCGGCCATGTATTTTGAGAAACGCTCATATTCCTTGCTAATTTGGAAGGCTAATTCTCTCGTGTGGCACATTACGAGTACGTATACATGATTTTCTGAAGGTTCCAGCTGCTGTAGTGTCGCCAATACGAAAACGGCGGTTTTTCCCATGCCGGACTTGGCTTGACACAGGATATCCATACCAAGGACAGCTTGTGGAATACATTCATGTTGTACCTCTGATGGATGCTCGAAACCACAGTCGACGATGGCGCGCAATATTTCGGGTTTTAACAGGAAATCTCTGAATCCAGAGCTGTGAATAGATACGTAGGATCCCTTAACCTCTTTCTTTGGCGCCGCTTCTGTCGCCCCGTCAGCGGTCTGCTGATCTGCCTGCTCCTCGTCTTCGTAGTCCAGAAGGTCATCGTTGTCAGCCATGATTTGTGGATTTCAACAAATTTATTTACTAATTTAGGGCCGTAATCGATTAGGAGCACGTGAAATTTATTTTGAAAAATTATTTCACAATAATGGCGGCTATGGTTTCGGCGTCAATGTGTACTTTTTTTATGAAACGGTTGTTCAGCACGGACCTGTTATGGATACCAGGCTTTTTGCATAATTTTGTACAAGCTTTTAGGGTGGTCTTAACAGTGTTGCTATAAATAAAAATAGAAAATAAGGATATTTTGTGCCTTTTGTGCCCATAAAACTTTGTTTTTTTTTGTATTAATCTATAACACCGTCTGTTCTTCTATAAAGAGTAGTAAGCACAGTAAGTAAGGTGTAAGCATACCAACTTTTATAATATTAATAATTTTATTCGCAACCTATCGGTCCTAGAAAGTGGAGGCATCGACAATCATTACGACAAATAATGGTCGCTAATTACGTTTGTCTAAAAAGGGTGGAACTTGTTGTTCCAGCTCTTTTGAGAATAAAAACGCCGATTTCTATGAAGCGTATAGTCGCTTTGATACAATTTCATTAAAATAACATCAACGCAACAGCCCATTATGAGTCTTCTGGATTATGGAGTCTAAGTGAAAGTAATTCATTTTTGCCTGATCTATTGACTGAATTTGATGTGATTTTGATATTGAATTTGATTAATGTATACAATTTGGCTGATAAATACCTACCCAATATTTGCATACCCAATGGGTACAACAAAGAGATATGTAACCTAAATAAATACCGCCGTAGTCACTTTTTTTTTTTTTTTAACCACTCTGACGTCCGTGGATAGTACGGTATCCAAGAAAAAAGTAGCGTCATACGCCCATGGATACTATAGTATCCAAAGCGACGAGTTGTGTTTAACGCCCTCTAGTTTAAAATACGGTCTTGCTTGGTGAGTTTTGACAGATTATCTATACAGATGAATAAATAGTTCGACGAAAAAAATAGAGATGGCAGTGTAATAAGCTTTGACAAACAAAATATAATTTTTTAAGTTCAGTTGACTCGTTTGACGCGCGTGTTGTGAAGTGTTTTTGTGAATGCCAACAATTATGTCGTAAGTACTACAGTTTTGTTTTATTTATCTTGCAAGTGTTATACATCAAAATAAACTAGAAGATTTGTGCTTTACGATGATGTATAAATATCACAGTTTTAGCTGATAAATCTAGTCTACTTTTAACTTCAAACAATTGTTGTTTCGAAAAAAATGGCCGGTCGTATGGTGTCGGCCACTTTTAGTTTTGTTTATACATATTTTACATACTTTGCATTACAATAGTATATAAAATATCGAAATACATTTCGTAATAAGCAAAATAATACATTTTTCAAAGAGAAATATACTAAATTCACTGAAGATTCCATAATAATGTCAATGTGTTCCTCAGGTTTTTTGATGTGGACTGTTTGGTATCCACGGACGTTACATGAAACGTGATAAATAAGGTTCGCTATACACGGCAAAATATGTTTGCATTATTTTTGTTTTGCTAGTGGTGGTATAATATTTTGCTTGAGATGATACTAATATTTAATATAAAATGCACTTTTGGGTTTTGTACTAATATTCATCATTTATTTTTCGCTTGGTTTCCGTTGGATATGTATAATGTTCTAATGGTTTTTTTTTGTTTTGAAACATTAATTACATGTTTGTTCGTGTTGATTAATTTCCGCTAAATGTAAAAAAATGCACTTGTGGATTTGACTACCTTTCTTTTTTACTGTTGCCCTTGCACGTGTTGCATGGTCGCATATATTTTAATGCTTCGCCAAATTTTATTTTATTCTTTTAACAATACTAATGTTTTAAATTATTCACAGCGACGTCAATCTCTGCATTGAAAATTGTTTTATGGCTTACCATATATAAATGTGTGGAAGGAATAAATTATTATATTATATATTGATTTTTTTATTTGCTTTTTAACCAACTAGAACAAATAAACAACTTCAAAAATACAATTATTGCATAAAACTAATTCATAAAATTATTTAAAATTTTTTATTAAAATTACATCGTGTGTGGGAAACCTTAGACGGGCGGCCATATTGCTATTATTTCGCCTTCTCGGACGAGTCAACGGCGCTCGGGACATCGCGGTAAAATTACGAGGAGTAGTGTTTTGTTTTGATTGAATTAAAATACTTAGAGTTAACCGAATGTAATCGTATATACATCAGAAGAAAGGGTAATAAGTCTAGTTTGTTGTAAAAATATTTTATTGATAAAATATGCAATAGTTGTGCCTTATATTCTAAAAAGGTAGAAATAATTGTGTATTTTTTTTCTGAATTACATGTTTTACCCGGTTTTTTGTATCAAAGATTATAACTTACGATTTAAAAAAATCGTTAAGATTGATCAGTATTCTTCAAACTTTTTTTTGGTATTTTTTTCTTTATTCTAGCCATTACGGTTCAGTAGCTATATAGGTTTTTTGTTACGACGAACTTGCGAGTCGCGCGCGGTTCGGACGCCGCGCGCAGCTGGACGTTAGAGAGATAAACGGTCGCGCGGCCCGGACGTTAGAGTGGTTAAGGGGGAAAATCATCGAATGACTGCTCCCGCCTGGGTGAGGCGGAAGGGAGTGTCAGACTCTTACTGACTAAAAACCACCCCGTTCCTTCTCCTGCACGTCGAGCCGGAGCCCCGGTTACCAGTTAGGTTCTCCGCGACTCCGAATCGGCATCGGCCCTAATGAGCCCCATCTGTGGTGGTCTGATGGCTCTTTGAGGCGCGCGCGGAACGCGACGCGCCGTACGCTCGGGTCTGTTTCTGCTCGGACGGGGAGCCACCCATGCTCGCCGTCTGCAGGCCCGCGCTTACGGTGGCCGGAGATCGTCCCGCGATCCCCGACGCCCGGTGTGTCCTTCGCGATGGCTGGGTTGCGAGGAGGCAGCGCTTCGCTGCCTCACGCGTCCCGCCTCCTCCTTAGTCCCGCCTCCTCCTTAGGCCGTAGTCACTATGTACTACACCTTTGTTTAGCAAATAAAGTTATTTTGATTTTACAAAGACAAAAGGAAGACATAATATCCATACTTGGCGGGCGATTTAATAGATCGTTGCTACTCGGTTTCTGTTAATGCATACGCATTTCCTTCAAACTTAATTTACATGGTTTTTTAGGGGATCGCACACAACACTGGAGAAGTTAGAAGTTTGGGGATTGAGAATGAAGAGGGGGGGGGGGGTTACTTTTTTTAAGGGGGAAAATCATTGAATGTCTGCTCCCGCCTTGCTGAGGAGGGAGGGAGTGTCAGACTCTTACTGACTAAAAACCACCCCGTTCCTACTCCTTCGAGCCGGAGCCCCGGCAACCCGTTAAGTCCTCCGCAGGTTTAACTGGCTTATTCTGGCTCTGCCATGTGACAAAATTAGGAAACTTATTGTAAACACAAATAAACACAACACAATAATATCTAATTCTTTTATTTTATTCCGTAAAAATCTGAACATATTACGAGTTGAATGAAGAACTACATGATTTTGTATCAAAAGCAGATTTATTAAGTGTTCCTAACTTTAAAAACTGAGTATTTTTATGAATGCTGACCTGATAAAACGTCGACATTAATTATTTATTTAATAATTATTTGAAACAGTATTACTTATAACTAGGTATATTCTATAACAATATTAATACAATGATTCTGTATGTAATTATGTCTACAGTTTGTCTATTTAATCATGACAATCAATGAGGGCGCCACAGGTCGTTCATATAGCAACCCCAACAGCATAAATCCAACCATCCAAAACTAAATGTAAACAATCCTTATTTTAGACATAAAATCATTTATTTTGTAGGTTTTTTACTTCTGGCAAATTTATTCAAATCTATTCAAAGTACAGAATTTATTTAGTAGAATAGTTTCTAGCGAAAACATTGATATAATTACTCAAGCTTCTTGTTCTATTGAAAAACACTGTATACTCTAAGTCCAATTTGTCGAGCTCCACTCTGAGTTGTTATCTTGCATGTTTAATAAACTTCTTCTAAGTTTTATTGACTTAAATTGCAATCTAGTATCTACCTTTTAAAAAAAAAAAATATTCACAAAATAGACTCGATCACAGCTGACATTCGACGTACTTTCATTGAGTGTTGCCATAGTTTTAATGCTGTTAGTTCCTTAAACATTCGTCGTCACGATTAAATATACACATTATGCATAATGGGGGCTACCGTATTTTTGGTCACCAGATGGCGCACATGTTTTAAGGGATTTTTTGTTCAATCATAGCAGTTGTCAAATATTTAAAGGACTAATGACGTGGCCCTAGGTAATTTCCTATTGGAAATAGTACGAGAGGTTCATACTAGCGCTGGTGAGCATAAACATGGTAGACCCCATTATTTTTATCCAGGTACGGTAGTCTCGACACGTTTACGATTTATCGAACATTTTCTGTCGTTATTAATGTCGAGACTACCAAGCTGACCCAGGTTTACTTACTAGCAGTCTAGTAGTAAATAATTTCAAATCGCTACTGGTTCTACAGAAAACAATATTACAATTTCTAAATGGGAACTATAAAAATAATACTGAAACAACAAATATTCTAATTTCAAACTAATATAACAGCACTCCTTCTATTCAACAAAGGGACAGTCAGATCTCATTAGTTACAAGTCCCATGTTGTAAACCAATAGGGCCTATTGCCATACGCTGAGCACAATTCTCAGTTCTATAACTAAGAGTTTTGGAAAATGAAAACCTTTACAGTACTTTGTATAAATCGAGAATCGAACCCGAGGACTTTAGCTCGATAGTAGCCACATGGTAAAAAATTAAAGTAAAGGCACCTACTTAAACTGTCAAACACCGCGAGGACACCGGTGACGGCAACCTATGTTCTTTAATTGTGTCTATAATGACGGTTCTCCAAGGGTTAAAGATATTTTGCATCTCTAAAATCTAACACTTTTCACTATACGGCTTCAAAGGCTTGAAATCAGCATTCCCGCTCAAGTAAGCATCGACAAAATTCTGTACGGAGTCTGTGGTAATTTCGTCACCATACTTCATGGTGACCATGCGCTGTTTAGGAAAGTCTATGGACGTGAGAAGTGGAACTGCATCGTCGAGACCTATATGCTCCCTTAGCATGTCTGCACTATCGGTCCCATCGATACCAATGTAGAACATAACATGTTTGAACGGCTTTTTCTTCAGCCGGGAGTGTCTGGATGTCGGATAGTCAAAGTCCATGGTCTCGTCATCAGAGGAGTTCTGGTACGGACAGAACCCTGGAAACTGTATGCTACACTCCTCGTAGTATGATTCCGCTGAAGGTGTGATCACGGATTCCGCGAATTCTATTTCTGAGTCTTCGTCATCTGGAAGGAAAAAAATGTGGTTAAATTATTGGACACATTTTTTAAAGCTAACATTCAATGTTCTCTAATAAGAAATTTCGTATAAAAAACATGAAATAGCTGGGACTTGGGGCTGAATAATTAAAATATTTCAGGGGAGGGCCAAAGTTCATACTAAAATATCAGTATCATCGTCATTGCCATCAGCCGAAAGATGTCCACTGCTAAACAAAGGCGTGCCTCTTGGTCCATACCACCCGTAAAATTTGTTTTTTTTTTATGGAATAGGAGGCAAACGAGCAGACGGATCACCTGATGGTAAGCGATCAGCGCCGCCCATGGACACCCGCAACACCAGAGGAGTCACAGTTCACACAAAATGATGAATATTCGGCTAAGTAGTTCCTTTACTCTATGATTAGGAAAATTTCGTGAAGTTAATCAAATAATGGGTACCTTACCTATAAACAGTACTACAGCGGGGTGTCGCGCCATTTTTAACAACGCCTGCTCTGTCAGCACTGAGACTGGTCGCTGTGCCCACGGGAAGTTCTGTGAATAGAAAGAAGGCAAATAAAATTAAAGGCAGAACTCCACTACTACAGAACAGAACTACACTACGATTGTCTATCTGTCTGCAATATTAAGGTCAAAAACTATCAAACCGATTTTTATATTTCCATCGATAAAATTTACTCACAAAGCCAAGTGGATCAGCAGATAGATGTTGTCTTCCATTAGCAGTGAGGATCTTGCCAGAAGCGTCCGTGATGACAAGTGCGGGTATACCAGCGACGCCCAGAGCTGCTGGCATGGTCAGTCGGGCATCTGTAGCTGACCAGGGCACTGAGAGGGCTCCCACTGAGGAAACTGATTGCACGGTACGGTTGTAGGATTGTTCGCTCCTGGAAGTAAAGATATTGATGGCTTCAATTTTAGGTATAATAAAAAATGGTGCGACTTTAGCTCCATTAGGCATCAAATCCAGTTGATTAGAAAAGAAGGAAATCAATGGTAATTTCCTTCATCTTCCCGCCCGTATCCCAAGTAGGGGTCGCAATACCGAATCATTTGACCAAAACCGGTATTTTCGGTATTGGCCCCAGACCAATACCGATATCCCGGTATTTTCGATATTTCCGGGATTAACCTAAGTTAGCAAATTTAGTATAATAAAGTTAGTTTACGGAGGAATAGTAAGTAGGTACCTAACCTAAATGAATTCATCTTCTAAATAAAACAAAATTTTCATTGACACAAGGTTTATTATTGTTGGCAATCACCCAGTTAGTTAGTACTTAGCAATAATTTACTAATGTTCCGTTTATTCCTTTATTACATACAATAACTTGAGGTAACTAGTTCAAATACTTTAATTAAATGTAGTTGACTAGGAAGTAGGATTCCTACTAGAAATCAGTTCTAAAAATAAAATGTTTATCAAACTTAAACATCTCACTCCCAAGTTACTTGAACTCGCCAAATTTTATACCCTCCCAGTCGACGTCAACGACGTCGTCGTTCTCTTACAAAGTTCCTTTCTCATCGATACTTCCGTCGTTCCATATTAATTTATATGTACGCAATTGTAAGTTGTGACATTTGTAGAGAGGCTAACAAGAGAAAATAGAAATGTATTGTTTTATGTTCTTTTCAATTTTAAGGAGTTTTACACCGCACATCGTATGTCAGTCCTATCGTAACCTAATAAGTGTATCAATCAACAAGAGAATTAGAGAAAATAGAATAGTCGAAAATACTTAAAATAGATTAACCAACTCGAAACTAAACGTTCAACTATTCTTTAAGATGTCAATTCCAACTCTCGAAGTAAGCTCGATCGCATTATTATCCGTCAGTCATCCGTGATTAGTCGAGATTACTCCCACACCCAATGACATGGCGGACCTGAACTCGATCCTTCGAAATGATAGTTACAGAACCTCTAAAAGAAAAATAAAGGATATACGTCCTTAGAATCCCTTAATTTTCTCCCAAAATTCCTTAATCGTACCTTACTTACACAGCAGTCATCGTTAAATTATTTTAATTACCTAAATTAAGATTTACGTCTCCATTCAGCACCTTTGTAATAAATTAGAGGGCGTCCATTTATTTTACGATAATACCACCTGGGTTTACATGGATACATTCTCTTTTACAATTTCCGATAGTAAAAGTTATATTTACTCTTTATGACTTTCGACGGTGAAAGTTATTATTTATACGATGTTTGTTATCATTTATAGGTCTTAACCTAGTCCGTTAATTTGAGCTGAGTACGTGTTTTTAAGCCGTGAACCGGGTATACGAAAGGATTGACTTATTAGGGATCTCATTAGTATAATAACAGCATTTTTTATGACTTTGTAATGACTTTCATTTAGTAAACCTATTGCTAGACTTCATACTGACTAAGATTTTTTTGAAAACCCAAAATAGTCCGGATATCTTCCAATTCCAACTCAGGAATCAAATCGATTTGATGTCGATCAGTGTGTCTGTCGAGTCACTCTTGCAACCACTCGATCATTGAACCAGCTAAAAGCCAAAAAGTATGAAATAGATTAAAGGATTATATTTAGCTCTTGTTATATTAATTAAATACTTACATAAAATATTATTTTGAACTCAAGATATTAGATACTCCTGAAAATATTCCAACACATAAATTACTCGGGAAATAGTGGTGCGCGTGCTCCTTCGTCGTTCCCGTAAGGAAGTTGATTGCAACATAAATAAATTGTTATTCTCTAGTTCCGGCCCCGGGATTGTGTTTGCGAATCCCGGGACTAAGTTGCAATGAATACGAATTAGGACGAGATTGCTATTTACTCTTTACATTTTCTATGTGTTTCCTTGGTGCTTGTCTTACTAATTTTTAAGATACAATTGAATTTATTCATTTTGTACCCTTTTTTTTGGAGGGGAAAATCTTTCAACTACTTCTCCCGCCCGGGTGTGGCGAGAGGGAGTCAGACTCTTACTGACTAAAAACCACCCCGTTCCTACTCCTGCACTTCGAACTGGAGTCCCAGCAACCCGTTAAGCACTCCGCGGCTCCGTATCGGCATCAGCCCTATTGGGCTCCATGTGTGGTGATCTGATGGCTTCTTGATGCGCGCGTGGAATGCGACGCACCTTACCCTCGGGTCTGGTTTTAGTCGGACGGGGAGCCACCCATGCTCGCCGTCTACAGGCCCGCGCTTGCGATGACCGGAGATCATCTCGCGATCCCCGACTCCTGGAGTGTCTCTCGCGACGGCTAGGGCGTGAGGAGGTTCGTTCCGTCACGCGCCCTGCCTCCTCCTTAGTTAGCGCATTTATTTCAGTCATTTTGTACCCTACGGTTGTTTGTCTAATGGATACGACACTAGTTTATATTTTTCTTTCGATTTATTGCGTCTAAGTAACCCTGAAAAGACTAAATAAGGTCTACCAGTTTTAGTATTTATAACGTAGCGCAATTTTATGATACTCAACATAACTGAGACAGTAAAATATTCTCTTAATAATATTTCCTAACCTCCCTCGAGTACCCTATTAAACACAGAAAAAGTTACTGGCCCCTTAACAATACACTGCTAAAAGGGAGCTCTTACGTCTGTGGTTAGGGCGAAAGAGGGCGAGAAAATAAGTACCGCTAGTATACATATATTATATAAATTATAGTATTCTCGCGAATATCAAGTTTTTCCGGAGCAACAATAAATTACACAGTCTTCTACTGTCGGTGAAGGCGGGAACGATCAAATTGCTTTTTTACGACACAACTTTATATCCCATAGTGATGGGCATCGTACACAAATCCCGGGATAAGTGGGATTTTTATTGAATGGGATTATAAAATACTGGGATTATATTTTTATTGAGGTTTTGAGAGCTTTGGTATCAGATTTTGTGCGATTTTTAATGGGTATATAAATTCAACTCACCGAGTAAATTAAATAGATACTAATTACAGGTACAAAAATCGGTTAAATTACTGTGGAATATTAATAAAAACGAATAGATCGGATGGAAAACTAAGCGTATATCAGTAAAAATAAATTCTTCCTTAACTATTAATGCCTAAGTATAGAATATCTCTAAAGTGTAAATTAACCGAAACGAGACCGAACAGATTGTCGGTCGCGTCGCTAAATAAACTCTCTCAACAGTCTCACTAATAAATTGAGCTAGTTAGAAGTAAACGCGATAAACCTACTTGGTTGTATGTAACTCGTCAGCAAGTCTGAGTTAACGACCAAATTAACTTTTTTACGACCAAATTACTTGGTATTATAATGACGTTGACAGCGGGACAGCGGGTGACTTCTGACATTTTGTTTTTTTAAAAGGGTGGCAAAAGTAAGCTGCTTATTGAGGCAAGGACTCGTAAAGACGGTAATAGGTCTAAGCTTTTACCGCCACAATCGGAAAAGACAAAATAATGATTAAAAGTGAACTAAATATTGAAGAAAAGCAGTTGGTGATTTTTTGAATTGCATAATTTTTGGCTCTGTTATCATGGTTAGGGATATACTGTTATATGCTCTTTAATTTAATTCCTTTAGTTAAAATATTTCAAGGTCTATTTTCAGATTACCCACCCAGGAAATATAAGGTGTTTGGTGGTAGGTCTAGATAGTGAACCATAATATGAAACATGCCTCAAGAATTGCTTTAACATAATTTACGATTTTAATCATAATCTCATATTATCTCTCATAATGAATCTAATATTTTACATTAAAGCACCTTCTCACGATTCCAAGTACTTACAAATTATCCTTAACAAGTCGTGCAGTTTCTAAAGACAATTTATTAAAACAAAACACATTAACAACAGGCTGTTGAAATTGAACGTCTAATGTCACCAAGTTTTGCAGTTACCATTTGAGTTTAATGTAAAAAGTTAGTTGACACACAGAGACAAACGATTTCCTGACGACCCTTGAGGCTTATCGTTGTGATCTGCAAGTTACGAAGGATTTTACAGATAGTTTTGTTATTGCTTGAAGATTTGGAGATGGAAAGGCAGTTAAATTGGAGACAGTAAGGGGAGGTGGGCTTTTTGAAAATGATGGGTCCATTAAACGGGTTGAACATCTGATCTCTTATTCAAGTGTGTCATCATTGTACTACTATGTACCTTTTTATTCTCCTCAGTAAGTTGAGAACCGTGTTATTTTTACTTTAACTTCAATTACCTCAAATTAAAATCAAAATAAGAAAGGTACCTATTCGTAATCCAGTTTCAACATTCAACATAACTCGAGGGCGTATTGATCGTAAACCGTATAACCGTATTGTCTATCAAATAACATATCGCAAAAAAATTGAGTTTATTTGCAACCGTATCTATCTAATCCAGTTAGATGACTAAGCCATATTCTTTTGCAGGGTCTCGACGATTTTTTCCCGCCATAACTCACTTGCGCGCCATTACGCTTCGGCGCCATGACACCCGACAAAAATAAGCACAACAAAATAAGACATTGTGTAGAAAGTTCTTTCCATAATAAAAGAAGATTAACATATCTATGGAAAGTTTTAGATTAATTTTTTTTTGGGTTTTTTTTTATAGAATAGCAGCCTTTCATGAGTTAGATGGGAGAAATAAATTAATCTGAGTACCAAGGTATTCATTCAGTTGGAAATAAAAACGAGAATAAAATACGGCTAATAAACGACGTGGTATGACGTCGTTTATTAGCAGTAAAACACAACCCTATGTTTTATATTTCGCAGTACATTACATCAAGTCAGAAGGGCGCCAAGCAACGAATAAATAAAACGTAAAATGCAACGTAACTACCGTTTCTGCCTACTTTAGATTTAATACTACTTGCAACACCATTTGTAAATCATAATTCAATATTTTACGTGCGTGTGTATTTATGTATTTTATTAATATTGTATA